ACTTCCCAATATCTTTTTTTCTTTTTCTTTTTTTAACCAACTGATGTCAGAATGGTCGTTTATAGCCAAGTTCCAGCCTGTTCATGCTGCTCCTGGCGTGAAAGCAGGGAGAACAGGGACAGCACATCTAAAAGCAGAGTGAGCTGCTCCGCTCTGCACAAGGAGCTCCAGTTAGGGAAACTGCAGTCGAGGGGCTGCTGAACGTGGAGCTGCCCTTCTCATGCTGCCATCCCCCATGGGTTGTGCAGGCAGTGATTAAGCCACTTTCTCTGGGAGAAGCTGCTGAAAAATGTAATGACGCAAAGTGAAACTGATGCAAATTTGGAGGTGAAGCATGAAGAGACTGGAAGAAGAGAAACTGTGATCAGGTTTTTATTTTTTAAAGAGATTGTAGGCACACTGGTAGGTGCTGTAGCCTGGGCCATTTCTCCTCACAGGTTTCTTTAATCCCCCAGTCTACTAGAAAGAGCCTAATAAATACGTGAATACTGTGTTGACTTTCCTACAGGGATCTGGATTTGGTCTCTGACTGTTTCTCTCCCTTTTCTTGTCTCACTTGCAATAAAGGGCCAAACAACATAACATCTTTACGGATGTGGTTTGTGGCCAGCTGCCTGCAGCGCTGCTGCCCCTGCTTCCCCCCAGTCCCGCAGCGCAGCACGCTTTGTGGGATCCTGCTGTGGATGGGTTTAGGAAGCTGATGTGGGTTTGAAATGCTGTTTTCTGTTCCCTGGGCAGCTTGGTGCCGGTGTGGCCGCAGGAACGGGCCCGCGTTCCGTCCTGCATCCCACAGGCATCCCCAGCTTCCAGCGGAGCGTGGCCGGGAGCCGGGGTGGCTGGTGCCTTGCAGCAGGTTTGAAGCACTACGTTTGGAGGTTTCTTTTTGGTTCTTGTGGTGCACAGCCAAGCGTGGCAACCTGTGCTGCCAAGGGCACGTCTGTCTTCCCACCTCATGCCAGGAGAAGGGTGCTGTGACATAGCTATCAAACCAGAGCCCAAGATTGATTTCCCTCCAGGGTGGCTGTTGTTGCTGTGGCCTTGCCCTCAGATGCCATTTGTGTGCCTCTTGCCTTGATGGACTCTGCTGCTTGGCCCAGCGAGAGCATCTGTGAAAATGTTTAAAGTACTTTGGATTTGAAAATGAATAAATTCTGCTCTGACCTTCTGATGAATCTTCAGTTTCCCATGAAATTCCAGATTCAAAATACAAATTATCCCCTTGTCTCTGCTTCAAGCCCTGAAGATCAGCTCAAGGCACAGAAGATCTTCAAAGGGCACGTTCAAAGGCTCTGAGTAAACCCCTGGTAGCTGCCTATTGTAGGATACCATTAGTGACCCACAAGTGACATTCAGGGCTGCAGCAGCTGCTTGTGGTGGGAGTTGGTGCTCGGAGCCATCACAAACTCTTAATTATCAAGTTGCAAAATGACCAAATGGGCTTCAGGTCAGCATGACTGCCTCATGGTTATTTGCAGGTGCAGGATGGGGTCTTGCCTGGTAAGAAGCAGGAGAGTTACCTCTCCAGGCTGGGAGATGAGGGACCTCATTCTCACGGGGCGTTGCGGAGGGCGGGAGTGTTGCAGAGACCAGTGCAACTGGAAGGGGCAGGGCTGTGTTGTTTATGCCTGGCTCTCGCCATGGCCGGTCCCATCCAGCCCTGCCACGTAACCTGCCTGCTCCTCTCCTGCAGTGCAGTTGCATCACCGGCACCAGATGTGGAAAGAGCCCAACTGAAACTCTTAGCTTTTGTTTAAAACAAAACCAACAACACCCCCCATCCCATTGCTGCATTACTGCAGCTCTCATTTATTGCAGCATTTGTATTCCGAGTTGATTATTTATGCTGAGTGTTGCAGGCTGGCTGCGTCTGCTGGAAAGAATTCAATTTTGAGTGTGACCTTGTTGTCTTTACTAGCAGGTGAACCATGTCAAGCTGTCCTTGAGCTACTCTGGGAGAGCAGGAGCTGGCCAAAAGGGTTAGTCATTCAGGGTGAGACTCGCAAATCCATTGCAGGTAGATGCAGGAAGAGGTGCAGGTGGTTGGTTGCTCATCGAGATAGTGGGTGGGTTCCTCTCCAGGGCGGGTCAATGCCCCAAACAACCCAAGTGAGCAGAAAAATGGGTTGTGTTCACAAGGCTGTCAAGTTTGTAAGCTGGATGGATTGGATGGAAAGATAAAAAAGAGAAAACTTTTTTTTTTTTCTTCCTCTTTCTTTCCTTAGTCTTATTACTTTCCAGCAGTTGCTGCTGTTGTTTGTCCTAACACAGCAACAATAGCAAAATCCTTTTGGAAGCTGAGTGACAGCTGACCACGCTGCAAGCACGGCAAATGGGTTTCTGCTTTGGTATCGGCAGTGTCTTGGACTTGAACCAGATTATTATTGCTGCTTACAGAAATAAAAGGACACTGTGCATTTCAAGGTCACTGACAAAAATATTTCACTGAAGTTGGGCTCCTTGGTTTAGCAGCTTTAAGAGATGGTGAGCGGTTTTGAGTAAATGTATTCCTGTCCCGTAACGAACAGCGACCAAATGCCAAAAAAAGAAGAGAAAAAGAAAGCCCTGTGCGAACACATTTGTGTTTCCTCTGGCTGAGGCATGACTGAGTTCTCAATGCGGCCTTGCCTAGCTGGAACCTATTTTAAAATGCAGCCTTGCCGAGCTGGAGCCTATTTTAAAATCCGGAGCAGTGGTGCTGCCTGTTGCCTGGAAACCTCCTCCCAGCCTCGGGTACTCTCAGCCTAATCATAGCCATCGGCAGCCTTTATTTATTTCCCTTCCAAAATGTCATCCCAGGCTTCTGGTTTGTGTTTTTGTTTGCTTGTTTTTGTTTATTATTTAAAAGGAAAAGACCCAGAGCGCAACCATCAAACTCGGTGACTTTCTGTGGGAACAGCTTTCTTGGCTGTCACTGCATTGCAGTGGTGGGAACTGGCATTTTAAGCTCTGTGAGGTGGGGGCACGGCGGGGAGAGGAGAAGCTGAGGGGATGGGGCTGAGAGCCCGAGCAAGCCCCCCGAGCTCTGCTGATACATGCAGCGGCTTCCTGCGCCTTGTGACAGTCTCCTCTTCAAGAGGAAAAACAAACCTAAACAACGCTGAGGCCTTTCCCAGCACCCACGTGTCCAAGTTTCTCTTCCCGGTGTGGTTGCACCATCCCGTAGTGGACATGCCACTCAGCATTGGGCCACCCGGATCAGCACGGACTCGCTTTTCTCCCTGGGGGCTCATCCTGCAGTTGGGGTCTGGCCTTGCAGAGGTGTTAGTCTGAGCTTTAGCATCTCTGTGTGGTGACAGATGAACGGAAGAAAGTTTAACTTGGAGCTTTCCTCATCTCAGCGGTCCTTTTTAATTCACCTAAACTCTTGGCCACCTTAAAACCTTAATTGATGCCGTCTCTCCCACAGGAAAACTTTAAATGATTGCTATTTCCGCACAGTTAGCGAGCGCGGTCGATCCTGATGGGATGAAACAGAATTGATCTCAGGAGCCTGGCGACGATTCAGTGTTGTTTCTGTCCAGGGAGTCTCTTGGGAGAGCAGCTGGGTTGATATCATCTGAAAGCTGGTAACAAATGCTAACCAGGACAGCCAGAAGGTTTGTACGTGAGGCATAGGAGCTGCTTCAGCTGTTCACAAGTTGTTCTTGTGATCTAAATGGTTTATTTTGCAAATCTGAGAATATTTGTTCTGCTAAAGGCAGAACTAAAGGAGACTTTGACTCAAGAAGCAGTTGAACAAAGGTTCATGTTTTGTTTAGCAATCTTATTGCAGGGATAGAGCAATACGCAAGGCTTATCCCGTCATTTCTTTTATTTTCCTCTTGAGTTAATTTGAAGTTTAACAGCCAGATTAGGCTCTTCTCAGGGTGTGCTCTTGTCTTGTAGTCTTAGTGCTGGCTCATAAAGTCCAAATTGTCAGGGACAGACAGAAGAACCAGAGCTAGGCAAAGGCCAGACACTTCTCCCATCCCCATCTTCCACTGTATGCTGGCGATTAAGAAAAACAGACTCGTTTACTAAAGAAACTGAGGGTGAATGAATCATGCTCTGAAATCATGTATCTGTGCTTCTCAGTGGAAGGGTAAGAGTGCTCGAGAGGCTGTGGGAACAGTCTGGTCCCCAGGCTCGGGCAGAGTTGCTCAGTTGTGTAGAGAGGTGGCAACATTTGTTGAAATATTTGTGCAAATCCAAACTCTCCTGTTCTTGATGACTAGAAACAGAAATGACCCTTCTGGCAAATCCCCTCTTCTGGAATTACAGCAGGTTGGGGCTGTATAGCACAGGGCCTAGACCTGTTGTCTCCTTGGATGTTGATTGTCTTAGTTTCTAAGGGAGGCTTCCTACAGGTGATCAGCATCATCTTCCTCTGGGGGAGGGAGGAGACAGAAGGAAGAATGAAGTACATATGGGGGAGGCAGGAACAGGAGCAGCAGAGGAACGGTGGAAAACTGTGTGGTCACAGATGGTAAAGCAAGAGGGTTCCTCATCCTGCCTGTGCGACCAGCACCTCTGAACGCCTGAGTGAACAAAACCACACTGCTTATGGCAACAGCAAAGGAAAAAAGATCAAGTACTCAGGGGGAGGAATGCAGGGTCTGTCGAGCTGAATTCAGTGCTGGAGGGTTTGAGAAAATAAAAAAGGATGAGGAGAAGTGAGTGCTAAAACACACCGTGGTGGGTTTTCCTTTGCTAATCTTTCCCAGCTGCAGGTAGTTGGAGCTCATGCTAGTGTTTTCTTTTCTTTGTAGCCTGGTAGCTTAGTTCTCCCAATTCCCCACTAAGATCAGTATTTTGCCCTCTCTTTTCTGTTGTTGGTGGCTGTCGGAGGTTTGCACTGTGGCGTGCCAAAATACAAGCTCTTGCAGGCAGCGTTGGGGTTTGTGTCGGTGGCTCTGCGGTGCCCGGGAGGGTGGCTATTTCTTGGGTTTAGTGATTCCTCTCGTGTCTGCGACTTCCCATCTCAGTGCAGTTCTGCTAATCTGGCTTCTTCTCCCTACCAGAATGAAGAGAAGAGGAACCTTTCCCTGGGGGGCCATGTCGGCTTTGACAGTCTCCCCGATCAGCTGGTCAGCAAGTCTGTCACACAAGGCTTCAGCTTCAACATCCTCTGTGTGGGTGAGCACGGTCCTCTGCAAAGAGACATGGGCTGAGCTGGCGGCGCAGTGGGGTTGGGACCAGGATTTCTTGTGTGTCCTGCTGCGCCGCAGGCCTCAGTGGTGACATTAAGCAAGTCAGAAATGCCTAACTCTTAAAAAATATGTTTTCATTTCAGTGAACTTGAGCTCTCTGGAGCTTGATGCTTCTGAGTTGTGACTTTCGCAAGTGACTGTTGGAGACTCATTGCCCAACGTTAAGAGAAAGTTTTGGGAAAAGCTTTAATATATCCACTTTCTGCCTTTGGTGAGGTGGCACAGGGAGGAAACGGCTGTGGGACTGCCCAGTTCTGCATCGAGCTGAGCTCCTGGTGCAGGTGCAGAAGCTGCAGAGAGCGGCAGGGAGGTCCAAATGGCTGAGTCTTGTTGGGTCGAACCAGAAGAATTTCCCTAATCAGTGAGGTGTTGCTCATCTCCTCCGCCAATAGCTTTGCAATAGGAAGGATTAAGGGACGCCTGTATGTGACAAATGAAATACTTCCATTTGTAAACTGGGGTGGCTGCCATGAGCAGCTTCTCAGTGAATATGGTGTCCAAGTAGATGCAGTCAGATGCACTGTGTGTTAGCTGAGAGCTGCTGGTGGTAACTCGGTCATTTCTGAGTGTAAGCCTCATCCCCCAAGATAGGGATACGAGGTTTGTGTCTGAGCTTTGCCTGGTTGATGCTTTCCAGGGGTAAGTCAAAGGGCTTGAAACATGACTGTCTCTGTGCTAGGAAAGGAAGAGGGACTGTTTCTGGTTTTACTGATTGTAAAGTATTTATCTTGAAGGTAGAGAGCAGGAACGAGAGGCTGACTTTAAATTAACCTCATGATATTCTTGTTTTTTAGTTTTGATATTGATGTGATCTAGCAGGCAATGCTACCTAGAGTACTGGAAACCAATTCCTTCCAGTGATGAGCATTATTTTTACTTTGGCTGACTCTTGTATCGTGTATGAGGTCTGAAGGGTGCTTGTGCCATACCTAAGGCACTTTTACATATCCAAACCACAGGTACAAAGCATGGCTGAAATCACAGCTGAACTCAGAGACCTGGTCCTTAGCAGAGGGGTAATTGCAGCAGAGGGCAAGATGTTTGTAATTAGTGTTGTTCTTGGGGACACCAGAATGGACACTTCTGCCTTCTCATCTGGCCATACTATTTGTGAAACACTGGAAAAAATTTCCCTGGTTTTTTTTTTTTTTGTTTGTTTGGTTTTTTTGTTTGTTTGGTTTGGTTTGGTTTTGGACAAGAGGGGAAAAAAAACCCCTCTGTATCCCTCATTTTTGCCAGTTCCTGCTCTCAACTGTGCCCAAAGCTGAACAGGAGAATCTGGCTTACATCAGTAGTGAGTTCTGCATATGACTTTCCTTTCAGATTTATCTGGAGCACCAGGCTGGTTTTATTTCCTTGCATAACTCTTAACCCCAGCTGGTAGGAAGCAGTATGTACCGCTGCCCTATTCTGAGCACCATGTGGTATTTATGGATGTGCTTGAAGAAGGAAAAAGCCCCAAATCCCTCAGCAGCAGGCACGGCACCTCCCTCAAATAGAAACTTGCTTGCCCTCCTGCTCTCCCATCGGCACGGCCATGCGGGGCTCCTTGGAGGTGCAGCACAGGGCTGTCTGCCAAAGGTGTAGCACAATGGACTGCCGGTGAAATGAGCAGGGAGTAGAAGGTGTTTCCCTGGATTTTGCCTGTTTTTGTTCCCTTGGCCAATAGGTCTGTGTGTAGTAAACGAGGAGTTTAAATGGGGCCCCTTGTAGGCCAATCTGGAAAATATCAGAGTCTCATTTAGTTACCAGTTCAAAGCCTTTCTGGCTCACAGGCGGCCTCTGAGCCAAATATTCTGGGATGGAGCTTGGTTTGTGATGCATCCCAGGTGTCCTTCAATGGCTGTTGGAACAAAGGGGCTACAGATGGGAAGCTTCTCCTTGGAGAACCAACAGAGGCAAGATTAGAACTATTCTCTCTCTACCAAGTTTCTCTGCCATCTCCTCATGACTCAACGTTCTCTCGCTCTGCACATCTCAGAGGTTCAAGTTGGCATAATTTTTTTACTGCTGGAAAGATGAAGATGCCTTGAACAGGCCCAGCCTCTGTGCTCCAGCACTGGGCTCTGCTGAGGTCTGTAGTAAACACACACTGTGGAATGTGGCCTCCGAAAAAATTGTTATGCTTTGGCCTCTGTGTCACAGATCCCATATGGCATTTTGGTATTGGTTTCACTTTGTTTTCCCTTAAACAGCGTTCTTGCCTCCCTTTGGCTGATCTGGTACAAAGAATCACAGCATAACACGATTCCCTGTCCTACAAGGGCAGCCTTGAGGGAAACAGAAATACTAAAGGGAAACTCCAGAAATCAAGATTGATATGAGATGAAACCGGCTGCATTGCCAATGCCATCATCTGGGCTGAGTTGCAAGATCTCCCCGTGCAGCTGGAGCTCTTGGGGGCAGAGCAGCAACTCTTGCTCCCTGTCAGACAGCCGCCGTCTTGCTGAGATTGTTTGAATGCCTGTGGCACCTCATGCCTGATGCGATGGAAGAGTTTGTTCCTTATTTCCTCCTGTTTGGCCCGTTCTGTTTGCTGCACAGGTGGCCCTGTCATCTCAAAGAGCAAACCTGCTGTCTGTGACAACTTGGTGCAGAATGGGACCATCCTGGGCAGTTTGCATGTGCCGAGCTGCCTCTCAGCAGCTCCCCGGGTGCCTTATTGCGGAGCCTGCGGCGCTTTTCAAAGCGGGGAGTAAAAGAACCACAGAGCCGACGCTGGCGTGGCTGCTGTGTGGATGGAGGGGGAAAGGGTTACAGCAGAGTGAGCTTTAGTCCTTTAGCGGTTATTAATGGGACATGTGGGACTCCAGGGTCGGGGCTGTGGAGGATGGACAGGCTGCTTCAAGGCTTCCAGGCAGACCAAAGTTCAGCCACACGGTAAAATCATGAGACTTCCATCCAGTGTCTTTTCTGCTGTGAAAGGAGGTTTTCAGTCTGATGGGAAGCTGTCCTAGCAGGTCCAGAGCTGTCTGCCTGCTTCTCTGTGCTGAAATAGGCCCCCAGATTCCCTCCTCACAGGCGTCTCTGCTCTCAAGAAAAAGTAAGGTCCCCAGAGACTTTAATGGCAAGATAAAGCAAAGAGAGAAAGTGGTAAAGAAGCCTGTTAAAGTCGGGAATCTCTGAGAAAGGAGGGAGAGGAAACCTCATTGTCAGCCTTCCCTGTCCCCACCGTGGCACACCATCGCTTTGCGCTGATCTGCAGCGTCACCTGGAACTACCGCTGTGCTTGGGACAGCCAACAACTGACCCAGATGGTCCCTGTCAGTAGGAGCAGCTGAGTTTTAGTCCTTCTCATTTAAAGACTCTACTAAAATTGTACTCTCCCCAGGTTCCCAAGAAAAGTCAGGGTACGTGGAGGGGAAGGTAGTGTGTTTTGCTGTGCTGTATGATCCTCACTGAGGAGATGAGACCGAAGCACCCTGTGTTAGCTTTGCATTAAGCATGGGTGGCTTTCAAGAATGCAGTTACCTTTGTGACAATTATATGCCTGTCCACAAACAATTTGTAGTAACCATTCACAGTATAATTTAGTTCTGCTCTGTAATTGCTGTTCTTTGAAGCACCTGTGACAAATTTGTAGTGCAGTGAGCTGATGATTTCTCCTTCCTAGGTGAGACCGGCATTGGGAAATCCACACTAATGAACACCCTCTTCAATACCACGTTTGAGACGGAGGAAGCCAGTCACTATGAGAGCGCAGTTCGCTTGCGGCCGCGGACCTATGACCTGCAGGAGAGCAACGTCCACCTGAAGCTAACGATTGTGGATGCGGTTGGATTTGGGGATCAGATAAATAAAGATGAAAGGCAGGTCTCGTGCCATCTGCTTGGCATTTCTGGGCTTGCCTCTAATGCTTAGACATGAACCGCCTGCAGTCCTGCTTGCAGTGTTGCAGAGGAGGTGTCCGTGTTTCTGTTAATGGAGTAGCTCCCTGCAGTGGCTCTGCTTTTGGGGGCTGAGCGTAGAGGGGGTTGGGTGAGGAGCCAAAAAGAGAGGTCATAGGAAGTCTTTCCAGCAGAGAATGGTGTCCTCCAGAAGTGTGAGCAGTTAACAAGCTGTCCTCAGTGCAGGGTTGGGAATTATCTGTTCTGGCAGTGATCGGTGTCTCTGGCCCCGTCTCATTTAATTACACAGACATCTTGTTCAAGCCCCAGGTAAAGGCTTTCTGGGACTCCCAAGGTCTCTCCTTGGTCATGTTGCACTGCTACAGCCAGATGGCTTGGCCCTGAGATCTGGGCAAAGTTTAATCTGTGGAAGTAGTTGTCTTTCCGTGCTCCGCTGTCCTTAGACTTCGCAGTGCAGCCTCGAGAGACTTCAGCAACCTTTGGATTATAAAGTCTGTGTGTAAATGCCACACTTTTCCTGTTGCAAGGCTAAATTTTTTTGAGTCTTACAACTACTTTTTAAATGTCTAGGAGAACTCCTTAAGTCTTCAAACTGTTTCATTTTGAGCTCCAGTATCTGGGTTGCTAATGGTATGGTTTTAGTTACAGGCCGATAGTTGAGTACATTGATACGCAGTTTGAAAACTATTTACAAGAAGAGCTGAAAATCCGTCGATCTCTCTTCAACTATCATGACACGAGGATTCATGTCTGCCTCTACTTCATCACCCCAACCGGGCACTCGCTCAAGTCCTTGGACCTGGTGACGATGAAGAAGCTGGACAGCAAGGTAAGGGGCTGGAGACCATGGAAGTGGTGATGCTTTTGTTAATATTGATTGTCATGTGGAAGGCTCTGTTCCTTCTGCGTAAGTGCTGGACTCCTTCCTGCATGTTATTTGAGCCATTTTTAGGACGCCGGTAAAACTCCATCTGCCCTGGTGGGCTGCTGAGGTCCTGTGCTTTTTTTCCTCACTGGCTTTCCTGAAAAATGTCAGGTAAAAAAACAGTGTTCCAGCTGGCTGTGTGAAGTCTAGAGTGTTCATCACTGTAAGAATCTTAGTTCATATTTATCAAAGCCATCAGCTGCTTCTTTATTAGTAGTTCTTTATGGGTGTGCAGGTAAGGATGTGTTTCACCTCCTGCAGTTGAACTGTGGAAACTGTGGAGCCACCTCTGTTGTCCTGACCTGTCAGCAGGGACAGAGGGGCCGAGAGCCACCAAAACTGTAGATGTCGTGAGGTGATGGTCAGTACAGAGGAGACAAGGGCTGAAGAGAAGTTTTGGCTCTTGTGCTGCCACACAGGGAGTGTGTGAACTGCCACGGCTGCTAGTGCTAGATGATCTGGGTAGGAGATCACAGTATCTTCTGAAAATATAAATATGGTGCAAAATTCTCAAGGTCATAGGGATCCCAGGAGTGTGTGGTGAGAGGGTCTAGCTGGGTGTTGTTTCTTCGTGCGTAAGCTGTTCTGCCTTACAGGGCAGTGGGTTATTTAACTAGCTACTGCTGACATTCCTGCAGCTTGGGGGAGGTTTCTGACACACTTTTGGTTGTTCCAGCTGGCTGCCAGGGAGCTGCATGAGGCCTCAAAGGTCACTAGTGGTGGCAGCATCTCTTCTTGTCTTTGCGAGAATTTCCTACCTTTCAGAGCAGTATTTTAGCAGCGAGGTGGTTCCTTTCAGATGGCAGATGCTGATCATTCTACAGAGAGGGTAGGCAAGGCAGCTGGGAATCCCCTGGGTTATGTGTGGGGGATGCTCTCTTCTCTGGCTGTTGTCCACATGCAGCTCTATTGGACTTTGCTGGGGGGCAGAGTTCCCCCTCGCCGCGTCCCTGATGTTTGCCCTCACCCGCTGGGGCTGTTGTCCTGCTTTCCCTTGGCCCCGCTCCAGAGCTGGCCCTGCCTTCCCCTCGCAGTGGGCTGTTCATAACCGTGGTGGCTGTTACACTGGTTTCCATCAGGAATCCAAAAACTTTCCCTCAATAAACTCTCGTCTCTTGGCGCAGTGCCAGCATTACATGCTCCCAGAAATATGCTTGGAGGAAAGCTTTTGCATGATTCCGCTTGGTGCTGGTGGTCTCACAAAGCTGCTTCTCTCCCTTCTGCATTCCCTGCTTTTCACATCTCCCCGTGGCTGCCTTTAATGTGGTCCTTAGGTAGGACCAAAATAAATCCTTTGTATTTGTGCAGAGATGGGAACTTTGTGCGCATGCAAGCTTTTTCCCTTTCTAAACTTCCACTTAAATAGTCCTCTCTGAAGTCATTTTATCCCTTTGCTCTCATCTCCCTTCTTACCACTGTGTGAGAACATCTTTTATTTCATGGTGTGGTGGCCTTTGCCCAAGCACGCACGTGGAAACAAATAAGCAAGGGGAGACCGTTGATCTTTTCTGAGTGTCAGGGGTTTATGCTGCATTTCTGCCCTGGTGTCAGCCCAGGCCATCAAGGTGTTTTCCAGGCACTCCTCAGAGCTTTGTGCGTGACGGTGCTGGGCCCCTTGCCCAGTACACATGAGCCACTTGTGCCGGGGAGGCCAGCGTTGGGTGCAGGGGGAAGTGGGGTGCCAGCAAACCCCAGGCAGCTTTCTGTCTGCTCCAGGCTGGTAACAGCGAGTGGTTGTCGTGGTTGAGGAGAGGTGACGTGCACTGGCTCACATCTGCAGCCAGCTGAGCTCACCCGAGCCTGGCTTTCCTTGTGGGGAGCTTTACGTGGCTGGTGGCCCCTGTTGTACAGCTGAAGAATGGAGCTGGGGGAGGCGAAAGGTGTACCAGAGGCAGTGCTTTGCTGCATGCTCTGCCCACTCAGCCTCTGAGAATAGTTCAGCAAGGGTTTTGTAGGAACCTGGCTCAGTTACACCTTTGCTTTAGCACACCAGTGGCACGGCATCAGGTGTCGGGCAGGCTTTTGAATCCGCGTGACGATTTCAACAGTGAATCTTGCTTTTAGTGTAGAGTTTACAAAAAGCCTTCTGGGTAAAGCTGTTTTGTAAACAAACTCTTCCATTGTACTGTAATACAATGTTTGGCTGAGCTCATGGCCAGCTGCTGTCTAGGGTGTTTAATTGCAGCCAGAGAGCTAGAAGCATCTTCGGAACTGGTTCTAGATAGATGAGACGTGCTGCCTGGCTGGCAGGTGGAAAGCATGTGTCACCTGGCAGGGGCTGGCTTTCCATTGGGTTCAACCTGGGAAAAGAAGGGGATAGCTAACTAACAGAAGGAAGATAAATAAAACTGCATCTGTATCGGATGAGAAGGTGATATATTGATTTGAAGCACAGCCCTGCCCTGGAAAGTAGCGGCACAGCTGTGTGCTGCCAGGGGCATCCTGGGGCTCCCTGGGCCTTGTCCCTGGATGGTTTCCAGTCCCCTCTTGCTCTTTGTTTACGAGCTGTGGCTAATTATTTGCCCTTGGCAAGCTGACACATCCTAGGTGGGTCACTGGCCAGAGGGGATGCTTCAGGCTGGTTTGTGCCTCTGCTCTTGGTTTCCAAGGATTTGCCTGTTGGCTTCCCTGGGGCTTGCATTTGGGAACACTTTGGAGAGCAGGGGGAAAAAATCCAGCTGCATTTCACAGGGTGAAAGTACATGAAGCCTTATCACGTTAGCAAAGTTATTTTCTATCAACTGACTTATTTTGGCTTGTTGTTGTAGGTTTTATTTTTGGAGATGAGAAATAACTCTGTGGTCAGAGTGACTTGCGAAGGCAGTGCATTTTATGTGTGTGCATGTCAGTTCTCTGTCTTGTCTGAAGCACAGACTTCCTCTGGTCATAATTCTGGCTTCAGCAAAGACTTCCAGCAAAGGGGACACTGCACCCCTGTCACGTTCAGTGGGATGACGCTCCAGTAGTTAATTTCATGATTTTATTACTAGATCTTTAAATAGAAGATAGTGCTCTTCCACCATGAGATATAAAAATGTTGCTCTGGGATTTTGCCTGCAACCCCATTTAAACATTAAATTTGTGTAAACGTTATTTGTGTAAAAGTAAGAGTGGAGAGAGAAATCTTGCACGATTCTGGCATCGCTTCCTTTTATTGGGTTTTTAAAACCTGTTCAGGAAGGAGAGGAGAGGTCACTTTTCTTCTCTAGCTACTTGTATATCAGTTTATTTGGCACTAGTATCTGTCACATACTGTGACCCTTACATAGAAATGGATGTGTGAGGGCAGGATTAGACACGCAGTTCGAGTCGGTAGCGTCTCACATCTTGTTTGTTTCTTGTTTTCTGTCCTTTCTCCTTATTGTAAAGGGATAAGCTCATTCTAGAGTTAGAGAGCTTTTGGGTGCCAATGCTGAAAATCAGAGAAGGGAAAACAGGAAGATAATTGTATGGTGCTCTGGGTATCATTTGTTAACTGTGGGTTTCTAGCTTGTGGGTTTCCAAAGTGTGCATAAAATCAAAATAAAAACAGTAATAATTTAAAAAATTAAGGAACTCACAAGAGAAGAAGAAAGGAGGCAGGAGATACACCCAAACACCATTTCCAGGAATCCACAGTATTGAGGTTGACTACTGATTACTGGAAATGCGACAGCTTGTAAAACCCTTTGGGGTTGTGAGCTCGGTGACAGCAGGAGCTGAGTTGCCTTTTCAAAGCACGAGGAGCCTGGCTGGAGGGGACTTGGGCCAACCACGGTGTGCACCTTGTTTGAGTCCTGCTGGGGCAGCAGCTGTGAGCACAGAGCCTGCCAGGCAGGGCTGAGCTGGTACTTTTTGGAAGGAGAAAGGGGAATTGCTTAGGCCAACTGAAAATGGAGTAAAATCCCCTTTTGTGCCGGTCTGTTGGTGAGCCTGGCTGGACGGGAGCGCGGAGCCCTGCACACAGCAGCTCCCTGGCAGTGCCCTTCCCTGCGCAGATCCTGCTCCTGAGCGGGTGGTATGTGAGCCCCGAGCTGCCCCATTTTTTGGTGGAGAAGGTGGATCCTCAGCTCTGAGCGGCCCAGCTGTGGTCATGGCCCTTCCTACCTTTGTAATGAGGACACTGACCTGCTGAGGAGTGGGGTGAGCAGCAGAGTTTGGTCTCTGTGTGTCCGTGGTCCTTGGTAAAAGAGGCCAGATCAGTGGCTGAGAAAAAGAAGGGATTTATGCTCTCAGATAAATTTGCGATAAGCAAATTCAGACTATTCTCTTTTGGATCCAGTAAATGTGCTTGCATGTAGTGAGTGCTAAACCAGAGCCGGAAGGGGGGGGGAAAGCCAAGAAGTATGGAAAAATCCACGGAGCTACAAAGAGAACTGGAGCTGGGAAAGCAAGGTCATTTATTTTAATGGGTGCCCATTGGAGATCAAATGGCTGCTCTGAATTTCTGCTCTGTAGCACAAAAAGCATTGGCTTGTTGGGAAATGTTAGATGGCGAATCGGACTTTCCCTTCATCTGTCTGAAATCTCGTGTTTTACTGCTATGAATTTGGCTGCTGTTCAGACTGATGAGTTTTGCTGTTTATTTAAGCAGTGGTTTGCAGTATTGCACTTGGCTTTTCTGGGAGTAGCAGCATTATTTAACAGAGGTTCCTGTGACAGATCCTGCCCTGCTGTAGTTCTCCCATGAACAAGGCTGTAGCAAACCACATCCCTCCTGACGGATACGGGATGCAGCCCTCGTTTGCTCTTGATCTTGGTGGGTACTGGGCACGGGGAGGGGTTGGGGGGGAATCCCCCCCACCCTGCAGCTAGTGGGTGGCTTTGAAACCCCCCCGGGGTGATGAAGCTGCGCCGTAGGTTTGTGCTCGCTGACCGCTGATGCGAAACCCCAGCTGAGCGACAACAGCGCGAAAGCAAATCCCCTGCCTGCCGCGCGGCCCCCTGCGCCTGTCCCCGGCGGGCCGGGGGATCTGCTCAGCACGCCGGAGTTGTGATCCTCCCGGGGAGGCCGCGGGAAGGATCCGCCGCCACGGGGGAGTCCTTGCTCTTCCTGCTTGAGCACGGGGAGGCTTCGCATCACCTCGCTGCAGCGTTTCATCCGTGTGCTTGTCTCCTAAAAGGGCCTGTCAGCACAGCCGGGGCGGGTAGGTGATAACCACAGATGTGACAGTTACACGCTGTCTCTGCCTCCCTTAAAGTACATAGCAAAACCCATAGGCTTTGATCTGCTCATTGTGTATTTATTGCAGGGTGGTTGTCTGGTTGATCTGGAAGTCTTGTAGCCAAATTAGTCCTGGAAAACTCTTCCCTCTAGTGTTCAGCCGGGCTTGTGCCGCAGCTCGCATGCAAAACGTAGAACCTTTGTGGTGGTATGAAATATAAAGCCGGCTTTACATTTCATACCACCACAAAGGCACCCCACGGGCACCCCGCTCCCGACAGAGCCGCTTGCCCGACTGCTGCTCACCTGGTTGTTTTTCATTCCTTCCTTCCTTGTGCTGCAGGTGAACATCATCCCGATTATTGCCAAAGCAGACACCATCTCCAAGAGCGAGTTGCACAAGTTCAAGATAAAGATAATGAGCGAGCTGGTCAGCAACGGCGTGCAGATCTATCAGTTCCCCACAGACGACGAAGCGGTCGCGGAGATCAACTCTGCGATGAACGTGAGTAACGCTGCCAAGCGCAACGCCGCCGGAAGTTGTGACAAATTAAATTGCTGCACAGAAATGCTTTCGAAGGGCAAGTTTCATTGGGATTGTCCAGACGCTAAATTTGAAAGTTGAGCTGTGGATCTGACAGTCGCCCAAGGCTGTTGCATACAGAATTAATTAAAATGTGGCTCTTATTTAATCTGTGGGCTCTCTGGAGAGACTCGGCTCAGCTCTAAAACTTGTTTTATTGAATTTTTGAAAAATACTTTCTTCAAAATTCATTCTGTTTGCTTCTAGGCCACTTGTCATCTGAGGAGGGGGAAACTTTGAATAAAAATTTTACAGTTAAGATTTACATTAGCCTTCTGACTTAAGGAGGCTAAGCAGAGAGAACCCAATTTAAAATAAAGAAGAAAAATGTTTAGACTCTATTTTAGGGGTTTTTTTGAAGTTCAAAGATCAAATTCAGACCTGACTGAAGCATGTGCAAAACACTTTCCTGTCTCCCAAATCGGAGTGTAGCTATTGCAGTAGAAACAGCTGAAATGTTTCCACGTTAATTTTTTAAACAAAAAGCAGCTTTTGCATCAGAATGAACATTTTCCTGCATAGCTGTTTGATTAAATGCTTCATCTTTTCTTTCACACCCTCTTTTTTTTTTTTAATTTCAATAGCCAGTTGATTTCTGGGTCAACTAGATACATGTTTTCACTATACTAATTCTTTTTTATTGAATTCATTAAAAATTTTGAGGACACACTCCTTTTAAAGTAATTGCAAGCTGCGTGCATTGGGGAGAAAAACAGGAGTCATGCTTGCTCATTTTTCATTGGGTATCCCTCCCCCAGTGAGAATATTTTTGGCCGCTTCTCTAGCAGTTCTACACTTCTGGATCCATTTCTTCTTAAACGTGAAGGATTTTGTCAGCCCCATCCTACTGAACCGCCTGCTCCGTGGCTCCTTCCCTGCAGCGCGTGAGGATGGTGCCCTGTTTTCTTGCTGCGCCTGATGCTTTGCAGACTTGGCGAGCAACGAGCACATGTTGTATCCTACACATGTCCCTTCCAGTGCCCACACACAAACTGCTGTGCCAAGGCCTGTTTACGGATGTCTTTGCTCGTGCTTTCTGCGAGGCAGGGAGTGCCCCGTTCTTGGCGGGTGGAGAAGCTGCAGCCGCAAGAACAACCTGACAAATGGATAGAGGGAGATCAGCAACGATCACGGTGTTCCTACAATATTTCCCCAGCCAGTTCAGTCCAGCCAGCGTTGCTAGTAAGCTGTGCTCTGGCCCTACGTGCTCTCTGTTGTAATATCCCAGCTCATAGTAGAGACTGCTCTGAGTATTGGAGATTGATGGCTTCAGGGGAAGGACTTTTGGAAGTAGATCCTGTGCCTGGGTGAGGCAGATCCAGTGGCCAGGCTGATCCCTGAGGGGACAGCCCACTCCCTGAGTCCCCGGCCTTGGCTCTGTTTCAGGGTCATCTGCCCTTCGCTGTGGTCGGCAGCACGGAGGAGGTGAAAGTTGGGAACAAGCTGGTGAGAGCTCGGCAGTACCCCTGGGGAGTGGTGCAAGGTAAGGCGCTGCGAGCCGGGCACCCCCCGCAAACCTCCCACCCTGACACCCTCCCCAGCTCTGCCTGCCCGCTGCTAGACACTGCAGAAACGTCCCGTGCAGCCTTTTGTGGGTTGGCCAGTCTTTCCTTTGAATTCCCATTCCTACCAGCAGGTAGTACTGGTCAAGGGGAATCCCTGCATCCAAGGGGCTGTGTTGGGCCCTGTGCGGGACAACAGGTAGATGCTTTTGGGAGGGGAATTTCTGGAATTAATAATGTCCGTGCGTTTGCACTCCCCCGCCACGTGTGCAGTTTGCTGACTTCTCCCTTTGCTCCCCTCAGTTGAGAATGAAAGTCACTGTGACTTTGTGAAACTGCGGGAAATGCTGATTCGAGTCAATATGGAGGATCTTCGAGAGCAGACTCACACCCGTCACTACGAGCTGTACAGGAGGTGCAAACTGGAAGAGATGGGCTTCAAGGACACGGATCCAGACAGCCAGCCCTTCAGGTGAGCGACTTGCGCGTCTCGCATCAATTCAGAGCAATAGTTTGGTACTGACACTCCAAAAAGATGGGAGGTTTGTAGGCCCTATGCACAATGTTGGGCTGGAAAATACCAGCACTGGGTTTGAACTGTGCAGCTGACTTTGGTGGCATTCCCTTCCCTGCCTGTTTGTCTTTAAGCAAGGCAGACAAGCGTGCGTTTCCCCAACCCAAACTTCTTGGTGTCCAAAGACTCTGGATTTTGTTTGCTTTCTTCCCCAGCCTCCAAGAAACATATGAGACCAAAAGGAAAGAGTTCTTGGGCGAGCTCCAGAAGAAAGAGGAAGAAATGAGACAAATGTTTGTTAACAAAGTCAAGGAGACGGAGGCAGAGCTGAAGGAGAAGGAGAGAGAGGTGGGTGTGCCAAAAACCTGTGAGGAGCCCAAAATACAGCCAGCATAGGATCTGGGTCTGGGCAATGGATGAATCCTGGAAAGCAGATGCAGATCTTGAGCAGACCTCACCAGCCAAAGCACAAACACACACACACACCTTCCCCCACTCAGCGAAGGGGACACGGGGTAATGTTTTTGAAACAGCATCACTGGTTTAGGTGCCTCAGAAACAACAGTCTTCCCAGTCCTGTGCAGTGTGTAGGAGACTTGGCTGCTGCTTGGTGAGCAAAGGGCGATGCAGGACGTTTTGGGGAGCATCCATGTCAGGGAGAGTTAGTCCCTGGAGGCTCAGCGGACAGCAGAGTAAAGGGGACAGCCCGGCGAGCGTGGGGTGGCGGGGATTCGTGCGGGAGGGGCAGAGCCTGATGGCTGGGCTGATGCGATGCTCAGAGGGTCTGTCTCCTACCAGCTGCATGAGAAATTTGAGCACTTAAAAAGGATACACCAGGAAGAGAAAAGGAAGGTGGAGGAGAAGAGGAGGGAGCTGGAGGAAGAGATGAACGCCTTCAACAGGCGGAAAGTAGCGGTGGAAACCTTGCAGTCCCAATCCTTGCAGGCTACCTCACAGCAGCCGCTGAAGAAGGACAAAGACAAGAAAAAGTAAGTGACTGAACTGGAATCCTCCTGCTCTGCCGCTGGGAAGCTGGGTGTCTGCTCAGATGCTTGAATGTTTGATCCATTGCTTAGGCAGCAAATGGGAAAGGGGATTGTGGAATCCTAACTCCTGCCCTTCTGACTCTTTGCCTAAAGTAGAGGAGAGCCGGGGTCCGCCTGTGCCTGGGGAAGCCCTGGTGGCTGCAGTGGGAGGGATTTGCAATTTGGGGCTGTTCTCCAAAGGCTGAGAGTCCCATGGGTTTGCCCTTGGCTCTGACAGCCAGCTCAAGTGATCCTGCAACCCTTCTGCCCCTGGAGACAGACTGGAGGGTGACTAGAAATAAACTGCATCTTCTCCCCAGCAGAGAGGAGTGGGGACAGTCTTGGCACAGTTGTAACATCTTACAGACGAGGTCCCCCGTGGTGTGATCCTTGCTGTGATCCAGAGAGCACGCTTACTTGATTTATAGAGTCAGAGCTGTAAAGAAGGAAACAGCAGCTTAGACTGAAGATGCATTAGAAATTCATTAGGGCTCCGCGTGAAATAGGGCTCCAAGATGCAGTTCTGCTTACAAGAAAGCTCTTTTCCCCTACAGGCACAATTCTTATCTTAGCTTGCTGCAAGTTAATTGACATTGCTGAAGCCAGCAAGAGTGTGGAGCAAGGGCATGTAAATAATGCTCTCTCAGCTGCCTGGTTGTGTAATGATAGCGCAAGAATGGGGCAAACAGGTTTAAAAAGAAAAGGTGCGTGGGGGTGATCCTGCTTCCATTCAATCGAGTCTTCAGGGAACGCTGGCTAGGGAGCAAAATGATCAGTGCCATCATTTAAGCTGGTAATTCTGTTATTCCAGCATTTTTTTTGTTACTTCCCCATGTGTGAAGGAGCTTAAGAGTCTGAACTACGTTCTGTCAAATTCAGAACAGGCTGGTGGCAATGATTTCTGAGCCTGTTAACCATGAAAAGAAAAAAAAGACCATCAAGAGTAGCAGCACCCGAGTTTGCTCTTGACAGCACATTTGGCTTCACGTTGCTGATGGGATCTTGTGCTCTGACATTTCTCTGCTGTGAACTGCAGCACTAGAGAAGCTCGTTCTGCATACTGACATGCGAGTAATTTGTTTCTTCCCATGGAAGGCAACAGTACGTGTTATTTAATGTATTATTTAACATACTTCCTTGGGATGTAAATGTGTTGGTGTTAAAACAAAGCCAAAGCACTCTTCGGCAGACCTCTCAGCGTGTCTCTGGGCATGTTCCACCTCATACACAGAGTCCAAAACGCTTTGGAAAATATTCTGCTGACAACAGGGTTTAATCCAGCTAAACTCACGCATGAGTTAGGGACTGAGTACCGGGGCAGCCTGGGGCCCAGCTCTGCTTCGAAGCAGGTGAGCACGCCGAGCCACACGCTGCCGACTCGCGCGAGCGATGCAGGTCGCTGGGACGCGCCAGCCCGGCGGAACCGCTGCGGCTTCCCCTCTGCTCCGTCTGTCTGCGATGAGAAACAGGTTTCCTGAGCTTGGCTGGTTTTAGCCCGCCGGCAGACACGAATCTGGACGCCCATCCTCTGCTGGGTGGCGACTGGAAGCCGGCCGCGGTCAGAACGCAGCAGCTCGGAGGGACCGAGGGGCACCCACGGCGTGTGCTCTGGGCGGCGGGGACCCCCGCACGGTGCTGGGGCAGGGGGGGTTCTCTTCAGCTCTGGAGCACGGCTGGAGAAAGGTGTGCCATCCCCAGGAATAAAACTGACATGAGGGAGAGGAAGTGGTTTTTGGATTGGGTTTTGCGGTGGGTTTTTATTTTCGCGAACCTGTGAGCTAGTTCAAAATGTAGTATTGGGGGGGTTCTGCTCAAGCAGGATAATGAAATTTGTAAGAAAAAAGCCAAAGGAAGGTGCCTCCCCTTGGCCTGGCCAGTGACCATTCTTCCCAGACCCCCCTTCCTCATCTGGGAGGCATCACAAGGGGTCAGGGGGCCTTGTGAAACGTGGGTGCTGGAGACCTCAGCCCTAACCCATCCCACTGCCACATCCCTGGCAGCTGGGTGGATGGTGCCCCCACAGATGGGCACTGCGAGGGTCTGCGTGTTCCCTGGCAAGCAGCAGGGACGGCATTGCCGACTTTCTTCCTGGCCATCGGTCAACCAAACCAGCCTGGAAGTGCAGCTGGGATTTGGGGAGGTGGTGACAGGCAGCGTCCCCTCCCCTCCCTGGAACCGGAGGCTGAGTGCACGGGGCGAGCTGTGACACAAGGGCGATGTTAGTGGGGGGTCCCCTCTGTGCTTGCACGGGGAGGGGGTGAAGGAAACTGGGTGCAGAGGGGGCCGGGAGAGCCCCCGCAGCTCCCTGGGTTTATGGGCAAAGCGTTGGGGCCCTGCGGGAACAGGGAAACGTCTGGTGAGCTCAGAGAGGGGGGGGCGGCCCTTTCTTGCCACTGTTTTTAGGGGAGCTGCTCGAACCTTTTGTCGAGTCCTGTTTCAACACGGCGGGTTTAGTAGCTTTAATAAGTAAAAAAAGGGAGACGGGGGGATTGCAGGTGGCCAGGGGAGGTGGAAGTGTTTGTGCTGAGATTCCTGTTCTCCGAGCAGGCTGTGCTCTGGCGCGGGGCTCAGCGTGCCAGCGGTTGCTCTTGGCTGTGAATCTTCAGATGCCCGAGCAGCGTTTGCCCTTCTCTTCCGTTTTTTTTTTTGTTTGTTTGTTTCTTTAGTTTTTAACATATTTCGCTACACATTTGGCTTTTGTTTAATTTTCATAACTTTAATTCATGCTTCTTTTTATGTTTTGTTTCTTTCAGTTAATCACACACAGACTTTCAGGCCAAGAGTGGACTTGGTGCTTTCATGTGTTAAGTTGCTTGAGTTTCCCACCCTGTGACCCTTCTCATAACATTGTGTGAGTGGACCAAAGTGAAAGAGAAAATGAGCATCTTCGATGGTTGCAGTGTAACGACTCGCTGTTATCTGTACAGAATTTATCAGGAGGTTTTAAGGAAGTAACCTTACCACGTACAGTTTGTTAAACTAAGTCAACTAATCCCTAAAGTAAGATGTTTTGTTCTAAACCCAGTGATTGAGCAGCCGTGTATAAAGTGACCATAACTCTGTCTACACTCATCTTACCTACCAGCTAAATAATTGCTTTCTAGACTTTTTTTTTTTTTTTAATTGACTAAGGTGACTGCTTGAGGCTCATTTGCCTTCCCCTGTACATGCACAAAGGTGAGAAGTGGTATGAAGAATGATGAAATGTTTATTTTTCTAACAAAATTCTCAATTTGACTAAGTCTTTAGAATGGGTAGAAAAACACAATGCTTAGACTTTCTGCCCTGGGAATCTTAGTCAGAGTAACCCTCATTCCAATAATTATATATTTTAATCCTGAATTACTCTAAACACTTTCTACATCATTTATAATATATATATATATATATAAAGAGAGAAAGAGTGGTTAATAAAATTCATAGGACAATGTTTTGAATTTTCTTTACTGCTAAAGTAGAACATTTATATAGAAAGATTTTTTTTGTGAGAGTTTGTTGTATAATGTGGAACTACAGGATTTGTGTAACTTTCTAGGTGTCATTTACCAATGTATTTTACTGTTGTGGAAAAAATATTTAAGCAGTCATCGTTACTTTTACTCTTTAACCTTAAACTTATTATGTGCCTAATAAGGAGAATCCCTCGATCTTGAGCTATGCACTGTATTTATGCTGACAGGCTTCAGACCTCTTAGAAGGTGCTTCCTTTAACACTCCTCATGCCTAGAAATCGCAGCCTTGCTTTCCTGGCCAACTGAGCTTTGAGTAATGATTAGGACCAATATTATTTTTTTCCACTCAAACCATTTTGTGATAAGGCAGGACAATAACTAAATAGACACTTACTAGCTATGTTGTCATGGAAAAATAGCTGGACCCAATTCCATCCATTTATCCATCAGATAATAGGCTAAAAGAAAGCAGATGTTTTATATTAACCCCCACATATAGAGTTTATAAAAACACTGGCTGGCTAAGTGTTAGTTGTGAGTGTGTGCATTTTTATTTAGTTATTAATGTTACAGGATTGTTCTGATTTTTTTTTTTTTCTCTTAAAGACTTGTCTTTAAGCTTAGATGTCAGCAAATCCCTTATTTGACTGCAGATGGAGGTGCACACCTTGCATCTGCGCTGTTACAGGTCTGCCTCAGGGCAGCATTTTGCTGGATCGGAAGATGAGGTTCTTTAACTTGCATATCCCATTAAAGCAGCTTTTTTTTTTTTTTTTTCTTTCTTTTTTCTTTTTTTCCTTTCTAAATACATGCTCAGGTGTTAAACTGTTTTCAAAAGACATTGGCCTTTTATATGAACATACTGAAAATCATGTCAGTGGTACTTGATGTTTGTAAGAAAGAACCTTATGAAGATCTCACCTTTTAGAATAGGCCATTTTTCAAAGAGTAAAAATTATGCCTGCCTGTTAGGAATCTGCTGAAAGCTGAACATCTGACTTTTCAGGCTGTGCCTCTGGGTTAGATGTGTTTTAAAGAGTGACCGTCAAATGTTAGGAGGGTTAACTTGGTTTTCTTAGAAAAATGTACAAGGAACTCAACCTATTGTTACATGCAAGAAGGCAATTCCAGCTCACCACTGACCACAGTCCAATCAGGTAGCAGATTAGAGGCAGGATTTTGATTTTTGCTAATGAGAGAAACTCTGGTGCCCTAATTGCATGAGAAAGCAGCGCTATTTGGTTCATTGTTTGGCTTCTCAAAGCCGATGCTACGAAGGCTGGAATGAAACAGTAACTGATGATCGTGGGTGCGCAAAGAGCTGCCTGGGCATCGCTTTTCCAGTCAACAGTTTCCTCCCGATCTCATGCTGCAGCCAGCAAGATCTGTGCAAATGATTTCTGTCTGCCCTGGCTCATCAGAGATCAATTCTTTTTTCCTAGAATAACAGGTAGTTAAGAACAATGATGAGAACGATGAAAGAGTAAAAACCTTCAAATTCATGGGCATTGTGGAGAAATTTCCAGCTTTTTCTGATGAAGACATTCAGAATGTATGTAACAGTATTTTAACGATGATGATTATTATATTACATTGACTTTATGTTGTGACAGACGTACTTTTTCCTGGTAGTTACTTGTTCTTTAGAGCAGTCAACATCATAAGCTCCCCAATGGCACTTGGTCATTTTTTTTTTTTTCTCTAGTACTTGATTTTTCCTTTTGGCTGAAACAAGACTTAAGTATGTGGTATATAGGGTAGTTCTGCATCTTATTTTTATTTAACAAGTTACAAATACATGGCGATGCTAATCTCACTCCAGTCCGAAGATTTGCATCTTGTTGCTAGAAGAAAAACCCTTCAGAAATGACTGGAACCGTTCAGTTACACATCTTTCAGCTGGTTTACACATGTATCTGTAAAAGGTTTGGTATTAATGGGAAAAACGATCCTTTTTTTTTTTTTTTTTTTTTTTTTATTGTTTAAACATTTACCATTGTGTTTGTTGTCTGCTTTCTAATTTAAAATGTGTTTTGCAGGGCTCTGAGCTCTGTAGCTTCCTGCCTGGCTGTGGTGGATGCCCCGGGGGTGGAGATGGGGGGGTTGGCTCAGAGCTCGGGGAGGTGCCGGGGGAGCACCAGCCTCTCGGGCGCGCTGCATCCGTTCGCTTTGTCATTCCAAATCTGTTGGGGCTGGTTTGTTTTTTGAGCTTTCGTTTCTTTCCACTCACTTTGTACTTTTTTTCTTTTATTAAATTTCATGTGTATTTTGAGTTTTTGTGGTGTCATTTATTTAGTGGTGGATTTTCTGTGTTAATTAGTAGATCTCTGTTGAAATAATAATGTGTAACGGTTGGAAGCTTACCAGCCATAGGATGTCTTATGACTATTGGGAACATTCAAAAATAAAATCAGCTAATTTCTACATCGTACAGTATGTAGAAAAGCACCTCGTCTGTAATCTGGGGAGAAATTCTAAGATATTCATTCAAATGCCATCCCTATTTGGGCAAAAGTTGTCTTTAAGCTTCTTGGCACTTTTCCTTTGTGGGATCAGGTGGCTGAGCAAGTAGATTTACTGGCAGTTTCGCTGTTGTAATGGTGCTGAAAGAGCTGATTTAAGGGCAGGATGAAAAGGGAGAGGAGATGGGGGGTGATGCTATCCTAATGGTTCTTCCAAAGCTGCATGTTTTTTCTGGAGAAGCACATCATACGCTTTTTGACTTAGATCAAGTCCAAAAAAAGAGCACAGCTTCAGTTTGGGGATCTTTTTTTCAGAGGGAGCTGCTGCTGAAACTTTACCTGTTCTTGGTGTCTGTTCTGTGGGCCATTGCTGCGTGTGAAGTTACATTCAGTTAATTTAGGGTCTCCCTGGGTTTTGGTTTGGTTTTTTTTTTTTTTTTTTTTGGTATTGGACTGAGATCAGTGTTGCACTTAAGAGAGAACTGGCAAGTGGAGTTTGGCTGATGCAGTGTTTGCTGAAGTGGTGCTCCTGACGGGAGTTTTTCCTGCAGCCCCAGTTTCAAGAACAAAACCAAGTCAGTGATCCTGGCTGCTTCCGAAATCCTTTTGGAAAAGTGCAGGTGGACTGTGCTGTGGCTGCCGGAGTTGGCTTGTGTGCGAGCCCTCTGCTTTTTGCATTTAACACTCAGCTTGCTTCGAAGACAGAGGGCACTTCTGCCCATCGTATGCGCTCCCTGTTTGCATCCCACCTCCTTCCAAGGCCGGGACGATTACCCCAGCGGTACGGGGGTCCTGTGCTGCACAGCCTCCCACAGAGAGCTGACCAGAGGCGATGGTTGGAGCTGGGGTGGTTTCGCCTGTAGCAATCACCAACAAAGTGGAGGTGAAAGTCGGAGCCTGCGCTGGGTTAGAGCTGTCACTTGAGGCTGCTAAATTTTTGAAGGATGAGGCTTAGTGGGGACTTAGCAGTTGATACCAAGTGGTTTGTATAAAATGTTTTCCAACCTTTTCCATCCCGATCCTTTTGAAAGCCAAAGCTTGTAGGAGACCAGAGAAGAGAAAGTGCGTTCAGGTACATAAAAATGAATTGGGCAACTGAAGTGGTAAAGTAGCTGATAATTTTAAAGGTGGGCCACCTCGGGATTCAGGATGACGTACGTTGGCGAGTATTTTTCCGCAGGAGCGCTGTTAAGCTCATTCATTAACATTTGTGTAAAGCTCCCCGCGATGCTTGCGAGGGGACGGGAGATGCGAAGTGTTGTTATAAAAGCAGTTTGGCGGCGAGGTAGCTACTGCCCGGGCTTTGCAGCTCCAGAGCTGAAGCGCAGTGCCCAGGCCCTGGGACACTCTGGTGTTTTCCGTTTGGGAGGCAGCCAGGGCAGAGCGAAGCCGCCGGCTCAGGCTACGACGGCTCCACAGCTCTCCCAGCCCCGCGTCTCCGGGCACCGTCAGCAGTCTTTCCTCATTAAGATTTTAAATCCATCCTCTGATTACCGGTTCCAAACAAGGTCTTGGCAGCCGTGAGAGCTTCTCCCAAGTTGCGCTGGTTTAAATTCAGATGTTGTATCCAGCCCCGCACGCTCAGGCGGCAGATGTTGGATTTGTACTTTGACCTTTCATGCTGTCTTTACTTCATGTAAATAATTGAAACTTAAATACTGATTCTTTTTTGTTCTTTCTGTAGCTTTTTTAGTCTTCCCAGTGCGTGCTCCATAACATCAGGAAGACATGTTAATTAGAAGATTTGTTAAGGCCAAAACATCTCATGCAGAAGAAATTAATTGGTGCTTTCACCTTTAAGCTTGCAATATATTGCACAGAAGAGAATTATGTAGCAAGGACTAAGATGCACCGTATCTTTTGATTGGGAAAAGTTTGCTTGATCAGGTTTCTTGATAAAGTTGAAATCTAAGATACTTGCCAAAAGATAAGAGGCTAATTAAGGCTGCTGCATGGCTTGCACTAAAACCAAAACGCTAATCTCTGGGCGAGAGCCCCTGCGAAGCCGCTCCCACTGACCGAACCCCCAGAGAGCCGAGGGAGGGGGCTGGGTTAGCGCGAGGCGAGGTCTCATCTTGCTGCTTGAGCTGCCGCTGTAACGGGGTTCCCGTGTGTCCTCTCCTCAGTCTGGTTTTGGCGTGCACCTGGGGAACCTCCTAACAGCCCTAACCTGTCAGCCGGATTCTCACGGTTCTTAGCAATAACTCTTCTGTGTAGCATTTTTTTTTTTTCTGTAGACTTACGGGTTTTATAACAAAATCCCCCAACCTTCCTTTGTTTAGTTTTCCTAGGGCTGCACCCGAGTGCCTCACAACTTAACCCCCCCGCCCCAGAGCTCCCTGCTCTCCTCCCCCCGCGCTGCTCTGGGGCCGGGCACCCCTGCCCACCCAGTCCAGACCCTGGCACGTCCTACTGGGATATGTTGGGTGAGAAGGGAACCAGTTTAAAGGGCAACTAAATGTGAAATGTTAACGGAGGGGAAAGGGCGTAAAGCTGGGGACTTGGTGTTCCTGGTTGTGAGTTCTGTGTTTGTAACAGACTGACTTCCCCTGACATAAATACTTCTTTTAAAAAAAAAAAAAATAAAAAATTGTGATGTCTTTGCCCCCGTTTAACTTCACACAGGAACAGGGAGAGGCCCCAGTTTATCTTCGTTTTAAAAGAACTTTGTAAATGAACTCAGGAATGACCTGCTTGTACCAAAGTTGGGTTTAATAAAAACAAAACTGACTCGTTTAACAAACATCTGTTAAAAACATGTTTTGTACACTAGTTATAATCACTGGGACAACAAAGCGCTGGGTCCAAATTCACAACTTTCACCATTGTTCCAGTTTCCCTCTGTTAACCCCGTGTGTCTGTGTTTAAAGTGTGATGTCCCCTGTGCACCCCGTCCGTCTGGGGCGGCTGCTGCCAGCAGCTTCCCTCCCCTTCTCCAAGCTGCCTCTTGCCCCGCTGCCGTGGCAGAAAACCAGCCCTTGGTAGGCGTGAAGGAAGGTTGTGCCGGGTGGGGTGACCAGCGTGGGACACGAGCTGGGGGTGTGACAGGAGCCCGAGGCTCCCCCCGAGCAGGCTGAGGCTCCGCCACCACCCGGGCGCTTGTTGAGACGGAGAGGATGGCGTAGAGGCCCCGACTGCCGCAGGCACGGAGCTCCGGTCCCCGGGGCGCGTTGTCCGTCACAGCCGCCGAACCCTCTGGATGCCCCTGGCATGAATGAGAACTTGGAAATCAACCTCAGCCAGCGACAGGTATGTGGCCGGAGAAATAACCAAACTGGGCAGACGGGGAGGTCGCGGAGGCTCCTGGCACTCGCAGGCAGTAGGGGCTAAACTCCGTGAGGAGCACGTTCATCCCGCGTTGCTCGTCCCCCCCTGCGGGCAGGGGAGAGGCACCGCGCGCCTCCGGGGATGCGGGACGGGGAGGAAGCACCCAGGGACCCTGGATTCACAGCTGGAAGTTCGCTGCGGATGGCTCGGTCTGTCTTCGTGTCTGTTGTGCCCCGCGCCACGCGGGAGGAAAGCTGAAGCAGCGTGCGACCATCGGGCTGAGCTGAGCAACAAAACACCCTTTGCTGCTTTTTAACTTGCCTGCGTTCTCTTTTGAGGCAAACCGATCTAATCCCTTCGGTAAAACTGTAATCTGTAATCCAGCTGGGAGCTATTGTCAAATTAGATTCCCAGTTCACTTATCCAGATGGGAATAAAAGCTTGCTTGTTTGTTGTTTTTGGTTTTTTGTTTTTTTTTTTTTTTTTTTTTTTTTTCCCTTTTTTTCCCCCCCCCCTTCAAAATCGCTCAGAAGATGTGATTAGGTTCTGTTTGCCATGACCACAGTTTGGTCACCAGTAGGATTCAGGCTGCCCACCTTGCTGAGGAAGAAAGCGAGGGAGCTGCTGAGACCAGCCAGGAGTTAGTGCATCACTTGAGCCAAGTGCACTTCTCTGCATTCTTAAAGAACTGAACTGTAAGTACTGCTCAAACGGAAGTTAAAACACTAAAGACGATTAGCAAAAAAATTAAAAACCACACAGAGGCAACCCCACAGATGAGATATAAAGGGTTTACAGATGTCTGAAGGCACTTGGTATCGGTGACGTCTCGAGGCAGCCCGCTGGGTGCTCTGGAAGAGCTTTCTGTCAGCCCGGGGCTGGCTGCCATGAATTGCCTCTGTGCATTTCTTTGGCACAGCAGAAAATTTTGTTCAGAAACCTGTAATATGGTAAAACAACTACCGTATTACTCTTCCCTCTGCTGTTTTCTCGCATCTGGACCAATTCTCTAACCACAGAAGTTTCTTCATTTGTGCAGCGGTGGAAATGGACTCTTCTTCTAGGTTGCCACGAACCCGCCATAAGTAGCGACACCGCGTGAGGTTTCTCTGGAAGGCGGCTCCGCAGCGAGGTGGCTCCAGCCCTCCGGGGAGCGGTTCCTGGGTGACTTGCTCGAGCTGTGACACGTTTCCTCGCGGTGGTGGTTTATGAACGCGGGAGATGAGGCGGCTGGAGGGGCCTCTGAACTGCTTCGCTGTTTCTGCCGGCAATTTAATGGTTGGTTTGCGTTTTGGTTCTGATTCAGAACCTGAGCGTCCGTGCGCAGCAGCGGCGGCTGCCAGGAAACTTCTTGGAGGATGGAACAATTCCGTGGATGGTTAGCGTAGGGGATTCCAGATGTAATTGCAGTTTTGTTTACATGGTGGTGTTAGCTTCGGGCATCTGGGTATCTGGCCTGAAGTAAGGCAACGGCAGGAGGAGGCTGGCTTTGAGAGATGTGCTTCCCTGGGCCGAGACTCCTGCAGGGAATTGATCCGGCTGCTGCTGACAGAAATCTGCTCGATTCTCTGCTGAGGTCTGGAGCCCGGGATGGGGGAGCTGTGCCCCGCTCCTGCCCGGGAAGACACAGAGGGAAGAGCGGCCTTCCTCACCAGAGCAAGGTGAGGCACCCAAAGAGCTCTCTGAAAATCCTCTGTAAATGTTCTGTGGAGTTTAACAGGGACTGAATATTCCCCCAAAACAACAATCCTCACAAAACTAGCCGTAAACACAGCAGGTCTGTGCCAGCATTCGCTGTGCCAGCTGGATCTGGCACGTTCTTGCCACTAACTGGTGTGTAACAAACTGGTTCCGGGGTCCCCGGGGTGAGTTTAGCTGCAGGTGGAAGAAACTTGTGTCGGTAGCATGCAGGCTGCGCGCAATCCAACCAGGCAGGCACAGGAATGACATAGTTGTTAGCTCTGAAACTCAGCTGGGCAAAATGATTGTTCCTGTTAGTGCTGGACTCGGGGTGTGCTCAGTGTGTTCTTCATTACTGGTCCAGGCAGCGAGGGGAAAGGTGTTAAAAGCCTCAGACTCTTCTGCCAGTAAGAAGGGGATCTGTGCTCTCAGAAATGCTCGCTTTCCGTCCTGTTGCAGCAGCAGCTTCTTCCTGTAGTTTGCAGCTTGTTCTTGAGGGCAGGAAGCTCCGTTCTGAACGATGCTGGGAACGCAAAGGTAAGCGGCACTTTTAACCTGCAGAGGCCGAGCCAGGAGCGCCAGTTCCGTTACCGTGACTCCAGCCCTGGGATGGGTGTGCAGGAAGGACCCGCGCTGCCAGACGAGCAGCAGTGTATCCCAGGAGGGCAGGCGGGCTCCAGACTTCCCGTTCCCATCCCAGTACGGCATCTTGCACCCCGACTGGGAACACTGGGGCCTGATGGGCCTTTCAGCAGCACCGACTTCATCTTTTAGGACTGACCCCACGCTGATGTGTACCACTGAACGTTGAGAATATAGATCTGCAGAGGTTTTGAAGAGCAGGTTTGTACACGGGTTTTAAGGTGTCATCCAGCTTCCAGGCAAGAAACTATAGGCTCAACGCTGGGGGAAAAAACACGAGCTATAGTTGTTGTGGTATAAAGTTACAGCTTGTTAATTACTATGTGTAGAATTTTCCTGCGACCATTTGCCCTGGTTTAACTCAGCTGGAGAAGATGCTTGAGATAGGGCAAAGGGATGGGATAAAAGCAGAACCAGACACGCACCCCAGCTTCCTGCAAGGACCTGTGTGGGCATCGGCTTTTGGCTGGACTCTTCAAGGAGCACACCGAGAGCACGCAGACCGAGCTTATATTTTATTTAATGAACACTATAAAAGGCAACTCGCCTCCTTCAAAAAGTCAGGCAGTCAAGTCACAGCTGGTGCGGGAAACGGAAGGTGCTGCACTGAGAGGGAGGGAAGAGCCCTGCCACGAAATGAGAACCTTCCCTGTGGTACGGAGGCAGGATGAATAAATACCATCCCCCAAGCGCACCGCTGCGTGGGGACCCCGGAAACCTCACCTGGTCTGACACTGGGCGCTGAGCCCCGCCGGCACAGTTTGCAGGAGCTCTGCCTGGCCTCAGGGGACCCCCCGTCGGGCTCGCCGCTGGTTCAGGACACGTCTGCTCACACATGCCACCTGCACTAAGTCTCTGGTACTAAGTGGTTCTTTCTGGCACGCTCAGGCCGCGCTTTCTTTGAAGTTTGAAAAGAGGAGCGTGGCTTTCTGCCTGCGCACGTACATAGCTCGCTCCCTCCTCAGTGCCAGTTCTTTAGAAAGGGTGATCTGTTAACAGATCTGCTCAGGACATCCGTCCCGCACAGTTTGACGTTCAGCAACTCCTCTCCTACAAGGTAAGATGATGAGCAAGGGGAAGGCGGCCAAAAACTTTCTTCCTGAGCTGACGAGTGCTTCTGTTACGCAGCCTGAGGGGCTCTTTGCTCCTGACTCTTCCCTGTCCCCTGTTTATTTATCCCACGTCATTATGTGAGACACCTGCTCAGCATCTGCCTGTGCCCATCCATATGAAACCCCTTCCTGTTCTGTGGAAGCACCTGCAGGTGTTCACCCTGTACTGTCTGGATTATACCTTCAAATGAGGATAACAATCACCTGAAAATGCTGGCCCTATTGTTTAAAACAAAACCAAAAAAAAAAAAAACTTCAGAAAACACTTATTTTAAAACAGTGTGTAAGGCTGGTTTTTAAGTGCAACACAGGTGTAAACTGACCTTTTTAGTTTGTAAAACTGCTTTGCTATAGAACTTAGCAGTAAATAAAAAATAATGTGGTGGTGCGGGGAGGGATTAATAAAAGGCATTTTGTATTGACCAGTCTGGTAATACAGAACAAATCTAAAAAAAAAAAGCCCTGAATGGCAGATGCTGGTTGGTAAGAGCTGAAGGCAATGGTGACTGTGGACAAGAAGCAATTTCCCACAGCTTGTAGGAACTGAGATTGGGTCTTTAATGGTTTAACCAGGAGGGAGCACAGACCTCAGAGCCCTGGATTCCAGAATAAAGCCTTGATTAGAACTGGAGGTTTGATTCTCAGTCTTTTCACTACTAAATCCAAACCTTGATTCTACCTGAGAACTGCTCTTACAGAGCCAGCGGTGGGAGCTCCCCCTTCCTCGAAAGCAGCTCCTGTTCACTCTCCCGTGGGGCAAGTCAGATTAGCTCTAATAGGAAAACAAAGGAGCGAGCTGGATGAAAGGCTTGATCTGTCACACTTCATCACAGCTATTTTAAAAATAAACTGAGACATTTGGTTCTCTCTGGTGCAGTTTGTAGCCTTCTGCCAACTTAATCCCCAAGCTGTAGGGTTGTAACCAAGTCCCTCCTCTCCCCAGCTTTCTGTATTTATGTGGTGCTAAAAAACTGAGGGGGGTAGCACATGCTGCTTAGGAAGGACATAAAAAAAAAAATAGGAAGATAATACCAATTTGTCATTATCCCCTGAAAAACAGGGCAGCACTTTTGCTCTGGTGTGTCAGCTGCTCTGTCTGCTGGGACCTCCCGGTTCTGCGGTCGCCACTTCCAGGGCAGCCGCTGCCCACTAGTCCCTTTGGGGTGGCTGTAAGGGAGGACACGGGGGGAACCAGCCGCCCGTGTCCGCCCCACCACCACTGGCTGCCCCATCCTCACTGTACAGGTGTCTGAATCCATCGTCGTGTTCATCCGTCTCCAGGGTGTCACCAGGAATTTGGGCTGTAGGTGTGAAAGGTGCTACACCGGGCTGCCTTACCGCGACCCTCAACCTCACTTGAGGGGAATTCTTCAATCCAGAAGGGTCATGGGCGGGTGGTGGCCTTGCCTCGGGACGGCCCTGGGTGGCTTCACTGACAGGATAGAAAATATAAACAGCATTGGATGGCTGCAAGTGCGCTAGCTCGTGATCCACAAGCTCTTTGCAATGGATGAATTCAGTGCTGTTAACCTGTAAGGAAAGATGCAGATTTTTTTTGTAAGTTCATGATAAATTACTCTCTTTTCTGGCCACTGCTCCCGTAACTCTGTATTTAGGGGTAGGGCAGGGACGGGCTCTATTGGCTGCCTCAATAGATGTGCCTTGGCAATATGGGTGTACGTTGGCCCTGCTGCAAAACACTGAACCAGGAGCTCCTGAATTACCACACCAAAGGTGGGCAAGTGCTCCTCTCTTTAGGAGGGGACAGCAGGAGGCTAGGTTAGTTCAAATTCAAGACCACAAAATGGGCTGACAGTAAACTGACAGCCTGGGTCTTCAGCCTTCTAGGTATACTCCCTTCAAAGGCATGTGTTTTATGGAACTGGAGAAAAGCTTTAAAGTAAAACAACAGAGCTTGCCTTGAGTGTGCATCATGAAAAGCCAAATCAATTATTTTTTAAAAGCAATGTAACTATAGTTGGTTAGAAGTTCTTGCAGTGTTTAGTGGGAGGGTGGGGGCACAGCAGGCAGGGTTTAGGTGCTCTCAGACACTCCCATTGTGGGAGAATCTTTCCCTGCTCAGCAGGCAGGGAGCTATTTGTGGCCAAGCAATTTGGAAACCTCCCTTCCCTGCCAAAGGGCAGGCCCTCTCCCCCGTCCCAGCAGTTTTGTTCCCTCCCCTGTCAGCACTAGCAGAACAGGGACACATGTTTCTCAGGCGGCTCTAAAGTGCGGTGCTGGCCGTAAATACACGTGCGCTTCGTTGCTCTATCAGTGTCTGGCCTCAAAACTGGTGACCAAAGGCCATTTTGATCCCTACCTGTGCTTTCTTTAGCAGATCAGTAATAACAGGAAACCAATCAGGAGTCAGCCTCTCCAGCTCTAAGGTGATGATCACCAAAGCCAATGTGGAGCCCTTAAACTGCAATAGCTGGTGGCACGCCATACAGTGCTGTAGCTGTTTGGTCAAGAATGCGACGTGGCGGGAAGGATTCATCTGAGGCAGCCCGTGTAGTAGATGGGGCCAGTTGGACATCACCATGGCATGGAACTGGAGAGAAGTATATATATATATATATATATATCAAAAAAAAAAAAAAAAAAAAAGCAGAGGTCAGTGAACTTTTTATGTTTTCATGTTATCAATGAGAAGTACAGACTAATTTCATCTCATATCAGGAAACCTAAAAGGTTTCCTCCCCCCCCTTTTTTTTTTTTTGTGTTTTGTGTTTGTACTTGCCAACCACTCAACTGTTTTTTTGAGCTTATAATGAATGTACAAGGTCTGTGTTTCCTAATGATTTCTGAAGTTTCTATGGTATCCAGATTGCTATCCAGGAGATTCAGTTCAAGCCAGCAGGTATGAATAGAGCAAAACCAGTAATAATGACTGCACTCTGAATTTACTGAGGAAACAAGCACCTAAGAATGGCAGTTTTCACAATCAGCAGCCTAAGATGGCTTAATATTTGCACATAACCTTAAAAACGGGATCCAGGATGTGTTCGTATCCCATGATTTTTGCCTTACTAGCACATGACCGTTTCTTGAAGACAAAGTTTAATTGTTTCTAATAAATGTTTAGTAACTGCAATGTGAACTAAGTGCCAGATTGGGGTAGTCTCATTGCCTAAGATAAGGGTGAATAATTATTGAGATAAAAAGGAAAATGGTTTAAGAAAAAAACCTGTGTGTGAAATGTAGCAAAACTGAAAGCTTTCTATGTACAGTATTAATAGAATGGAAATAGTTAGAAATATTTTTGCAGTGTGTATTTAAAGAAATAAAAATGGCGTATAGTTGTGCATTATGAGAATCTTTTTAACGTCCATTTTAGTTGTCCTTTGGAGAGGGGAGTAAATTTTTTGAGCAAAATGAAAGGTTTTAAACAGTAGAAAATTTTAAAAGTAAATTTTAAAAAAATCACTGTAACATTCTTCAAAAGATTTGCAGATAGCTAGGAACAGGTAGTTTGCAAAGCATCTTGGGAAGGATGTGTGGGTGTGTGTATGTGTGCGCAGCTGTGTTTTCTAGTCTTATTTGATAAGGAGCTGTTTCTTTAAAGAAAAAAAAAATTGCCAAACTTAGTGCTTACAATGTTTAAGAAATCCATTGGTGTTGCTGTGTAAAGATCCCAGTGAAGCTTATCTAGTATAATTCTTTCCATTCTCAAGATCTCAGCTGGAGAGCGTTTACAACCACTCCGTACTGCAAGCATCTTCACCGATGGTATTACCTGTGGAAAAAAAAAAAACCAAAACATTAAAAAAAAATAAAATAAAGAAGCCAACATCCTTCACAGTGCTGTGTGTGTTTTTCTGTATCGTGAAGGGATCTGACAAGTTTATACACATCCCCTGGTGCTAAGCAGAATGCTCTTTCAGGAGGCCACTTTCCCAGATAACTCCTGCCCGGAATGAAGACTGGCCCGCGCTCGCCACGGGGCAGCTGGCTGCCACCAGCCCGTGGCAAGAACGAAGCTGTCCACCTCCCAGGGGGGCTGTGAGCCTCCTTCACGCCGCATCGGCGACGCACGTTCCCTGCCACCAGGCTGGTTCGCTTTGCTCCCCTGACAAGCGAGGAGGAGGAGGAGGCTTCCTGTTGGCCTGTTCTGTGGGGCCCTCTGTGGTTGTCTTGTTTCCCGTGGTCATTGACTCAGCTTCTCCTTTTTAGCTGAGAGGAAAAGAAGAATGACCTCAGCATGACACATCCTAAGAAAGGCTATGAAGAGCATTTTGCTACAGCAGAGCTTGCCCAAAGTGCCATGCATGTCTGACTCCAACTCCTAGCTTTCCTGTTCTTTTCCAAAACAGAATGGAGGAGAAATGCAATCTGAAATGCTTTTGGCTCATGTCTGTAAATGTCTGAAGAAGCCTGTCAGTGCACTTCTGCCACGAGAGATTATCCTGTGTGATCTCACGCTTACATGGGTAGTTGCTGATTTTACATGCTCATCTTGAGGTGCAGACCTGAGTCATTTCCTCACCAGGCTCAGAAACCAGTTTCAACTCCAAGCAAACTCATCTATTTTCAGCTTCCTCTGAAGAACCTCTGCTCTGCCTCACCTATCTCACCCTCCCAGGGTCTGTAACAATGGGATTACAGCACTCTGATGTTATGCCCACAGAGCAGTGCACGTGCATTTTGACTGTCCCCCCAGATGAAGCTTTACTGACAGCCATGGATTCTGAAGAGACGAGAGAGGTTTAAGGGCAGGAGGAGGGAAACGCATCCATTACATAAGCAAACACAAGTCCTTCATCCATAAAGGTCACGATTCTTCCAAACAATGATGAAACAGGACTGAAAATGTTACTGTCGCCCCTTAAGGACTACTTAGGGTAAGCAACATGACCCTTCCTCATTATGCCCAAGTTGTATAAAGACCTGGAAACACAAACAACACAAGAGATGAGTGTAGTGTGTTTAAAATGAAACGTACAGACCTCATCTTCTTCATTGGTTTTTGCTGCAAGGACAAGGCAGGAAATTGCTATGCACTGAAGGTATTTTAATTGGGCCTGAAGGGAGAAGAAGAAGAAGAAAACACTGAGTAAAGAAGATAACAGTCTTGGGGGAGATAATTGTCATTCTATGACAGATGCACAACTTTCAGACTTTCATTTAAGTTACAGTTGTTTTTGAATTAGTTTAGCTGCAGAAAGATTAATTTGAAGCTGGAAATAGAGCAAGAAAATCCAAAGTGAGGCAAAATAAATAAACCTGCTTCTTGGTGCAATTTTTATTCACGTATCTCACAATTTTTAGACAATGCAATGCCAGAGTGTTTACAACGCAATGTTATCCCTCTTCTCAGCTATTAATTAGTATGCTTTTCCCAGAGGCCAGTATTGATCTAAACTGAATCGAGAGCTGTAAGGCTGAGTTCAACGCATAACATTGCTGTTGCTTCAATGTTAGAAAAAGTTGGCCCCAAGGTTTGGTAAAAAATAATGGTTTCAAAACCAAAATATTAAAAGTGATAATGCAAATGTTTTCTGTTAAGCAGAGACAACCAGATGATAATGAGCTCTTTGTACTTATCAGAGCATCTGGACTACAATTCACTCAAAGGCTCTGCAGAGGACTGTAAATCAGTGGAACCTCATCAAACACTCAAGTTCATACATATAGATATAGATACAGATATACACTTAAAAGCCTTCCCCAGCAAAGACCCTGACTGCTCCCTACATCTGCTGTCAAACATAATACCAGCTTTGTGTATAAACTAATTACACACTCCTTACATCCCCAATCAGTAATCTAGCCAGGAAAAAGCTGACAGAGATTCTCTACCTTTACTGATGCCAATAACCGGTTAAAGATGCTGGTAGCTAAGGCAAATGTTTCAGGGTAAAACTGGAACTGAGAGCTTATTTCTGCAATCCAAAGAACTGCTTTCTTGTAACAGGACAAAGAGATATCTGTGCCCTGAGGGGAAAAAAAAAGTTAGAAGAAAAATACAGTTAGTGCTTTGATGATTTTGTTAAGGTATCTCCAAAGGAAGACTCAAATGATTCTAAGTGCTCTAATTAACATTTCAGATGTCTGGAGGCTTGAAATGAAGAAAGTTGTCTGCAGCGTGAAGGCAAGGGCAAATTTTGGAACAGTTTAAAGCACTCATTCCTGCTGCCCAGTCAGGCTCTAGCTGTGCCTATGAAGCACCCAGCCCTCCCCTGGCACAGTGCGTATGAACCACCAAACCGAGCTCTTACAAACAAGGTGCTGAGGGTGCTCATTATTTCCCCCTCCTGAGAAAACTGAAGCCTCTGACGCAGCACGTTTCATTCAGACATCCCTGACAGGGAGAGAGAAACTGGAGTCAGGAGCAGGTTTCAGTTTACTCTTCCAGATTTCTTTTTTAACAGCCCTTTTGAATGTGCTTAGTGTCGGGACCACAGAAGCCAGGTTTATGACTCCCCCAAGGCAAAATGGACTCAGGTTTTTTCTTTCTTCTATCTTATCTGAAGATGCATTCAGGTGAGAGGAAGGGCTTTACTCTGGCTGCCATTACAATGCCACACGTGACCCATGGCATGTATTTGAACATTAGTGTAGAACTGAAAGGGTCGAGCAGCTACACAGAACAGACAACATTTACCACCAATTCATGTAATTTTACTCATCACATTATCCGTTTCACTACTTTCTTTCACTTGGTAGTAAAAATGCTTGGTAAAAACTAGCATTTCTACACTATTGCAAAAAAGAGACAAGGCTGGCAGGGCACTTGGGTGCATTCTTCCCTGGATCTGATGCACTTTACAGAAGCGGCTGAGCAGAACTGTTTCCATTGTGCACAGAGACCATTATGTGTTGTAGCTTCCTAAGGTAGCAGAGTGACTCACTTTAGCAGCTGGGAACTGGGCTGGGTTTCTGTTAGGCCTCAGTGAATTCCCTCTTCTCCCATCCGAATAGATGGGACTCAAAGGTGGTGTCGAGCACAATTAACTCTAACGTGACATATTTATGGCTTTGCATCGATTCTCTGCTCTTACCCGCTCCACCATGTTTTCCAAAAGTACTTGAGTCAAAACAAAATGCAAAGCACCTGTTTTATATAGGGCATTAATAAAATGTAAAAAGTGACAAGTACAGACCCTCCTCCCCCTCTGTTCCTTAAACTTAGCCTAAGGTGACTCTTGCATTCCCGTGGACTAGACAGCAGGACAGGCACTGCATTTCTGCAGAGTCCCTTAGGGACTTCCAAAGAGGACAGGGGATGATACCTTCACGGTGAGATTCTGGAAAACTGGCACTTTCCAAATCCTAGCCTCTCTGGCCAAGGCATTTTCCAGGAAGAAGGCAAGTCTCAAGCTCTCTGGAGGTCCAGGGCACTTCATGGCAACTCTCTGAGCCAGCTTCCCTGATGGGAGCTGCTGTCAAAACCAAGAAAAGAAAAATTATAAAGCAACATCCCAGCTCCTTGTGCTAAGTGTGATTTCCTCTCGTGATGCCTTTCCAACACCGAGAACTAAGTCAGGAGCAGCCATGAGACTTGTTTGTTTGCAGAGAGCGCAATCCTGTCATCTATTTTCCCTGAGGGGAAGCTCATGATGAAAGAAAACATGTCAGGTTGCTAAACAAGAGTGCAGTCAAGCTTTTTCCCTCCCGGTCTGTGTAAAGGCTTGCTTGAGTAACCTTGGGGCAGTGTGTGTTACTCCTTCACCTTGTTTCACACATTCGGCTCTCCATTTGCAGAGCTATTGAGTTGCAACCTGTTATCACCCGATTTCATGTTTCTGGCAAATAGAGGTCTATTGTTTTTGTACAAAAGCTCAAAGATGACAGTTGATTCATTCCCAATTAACAGTTTTCCTTAAAGCAGTCTAAGCTGTCTCCGTTGCTGCTGAAGGCATGCAACAGCAAGGCTTTGGAAATACCACTCTCCAGACTAAGCACGTATTTACAAGAAATAAACATCTCTGAATAATATCAGACAAGAACCAAGCAGTGAGAGCATCTCAGCCTGAAACTGAGCATTTCAATGCTTACATTTTGGTGTCTCTATCAGCAGAAAAAAGATGTTACTAGATATAAAATTTCTGCTTTTCTTTGTAGAGTGGTGGATGTGGGCTTCCGCGGCAGTGTTTTCCGGAAGCTCAGACCATTATCTCCACAGCTCCATTAAAAACCCTGAAGTGGCATGAATCCTCTGGAAACTGTTCTATGTTTCTAAAGCTGGAACTCCAGGACGTTGTTCCACTGAACACAGGAACCGTACATGACTTTGGCTTTCACTGCCACTGGATGTCAGAGCCTCCAAATCAGACTGGCCCGATCATTTCAGCAGACAGAAAGCTGGAGATTTACCCATCCAGTTGGAGGCACAAAGTTTATCCTTCTGTAGCAAGGGGGAAAAAAGAAAAGAAAGAAAAGAAAAAATGAAAAGAAAAAGAAAAAGAAAAGAAAAGAAAAGAAAAGAAAAGAAAAGAAAAGAAAAGAAAAGAAAAGAAAAGAAAAGAAAAGAAAAGAAAAGAAAAGAAAAGAAAAGAAAAGAAAAGAAAAGAAAAGAAAAGAAAAGAAAAGAAAGGAAAAGAAAAGAAAAGAAAAGAAAAGAAAAGAAAAAAGAAAAAAGAAAAAAAAAAAAAGAAAGAAAAAAGAGAAAAAAAGAATTAATCCAAAACTCACCCTCTGGCTAATTTGAACGCGGCTGTTCCTGAGAACGACACCGAGCAGCTTCTGCAGCACCAGCACCCGGATTTGCCCTCCCAGCCCCGCGCAGAGCCCGCGGGCGGCGGGGAGTCCCGCGGGGAGCTCCGCCAGCGCGGAGCGTTTCCATCCGCGTCCATCCGCGGGTGCGCGCAGGGCCGGCAGGGCGGCGGGCGGCGGCTGCGGGCGCTGCCGGCGCGGGGGAGCGCGGAGCCGGGGGGTGGTTCCGCCCCGCGCAGCGCCCGCGGGTGCTGCTGGACGGCGCGGCCCGGGACTGTGGTGGAATAAAGCCAGCACGGTAAAACAGACAAATAAAGGACAAACAAGCAAAAAACAAGAAAAAAAAACAAACAACACGCCCCCCCCCCCCGAACAAAACAAAAACAACAAAAACCCCCAAACAAAACCAAACCAAACCAAAAAGAAAAACCCCCAAATAACAAAAAAAAAACACCAAAACCAAAACAACAAAAAACCCCACCCAAACCAAAACAACAGAAAACCCCAAACAACAACAAAAAAACCCAAACAAAACAAAAACCAAGAAAAAAATTAAAAAAAAAAAAAAAACAAACAAAAATTAAAACAAAAATCAACCAACTAAACAAAACAAAAACCCAAACTGAAAAACAAAAAAACAACCAAACAACCAAAAAAAAACCCGCAAAAGCAAACAAGCAAAAATGAAAACAGGAAAACCAAACACACAAATGAAAAAGCAAACAAAAAACAAAGAAAACCCCCCAAAACTAAAACCAAACCCCTGAAAACAAAACAACCTAATGAATAAACCCCCAAAAAATTAAAAGCAAAAAAACAACCAACCAAAAAAACCCCCAAACCCAAACCACCACAGCCGTGGCGTGGGTGCGAGTGCCCTTTTTGGCACAGCTCCTTCTCAGAGGCCCGGGTGGGTGTGGGAGCACGGGCTCCTCCCGTGAGCGCATCCCAGGTGGAGGTTGTCTCACCTGCCCAGGGATCACCGTCGGTGTTCCTGGGATCAGGCTGAGGTTCTGCCACCGTGAAAACACCGTGAGCTGCAGCACAGCCCCCAAACCCACCCCTGCCCCCCTGCCTGCCGTTGGTTAATGCCTTCACGAATGCACTGCCCCTTCTCTTTGGCATGGCCCTGTCCAAAACACCCTTTTGCTGCATCCACAGCATCCCCAACACTTGCCAGGAGCTGTTTTCCTTCCAGACACTGGGAAGGATCCTTTTTTGTGTGTGTGTTTCATGGAGCACATGCATCTATGTCCCCCCTCAGGGCTGGGCCGCTGTGTCAGCATCCGTGTTTTCACCCTGTTTGCTTCCAACCAGGTTCTCTCCACCTCTCGCGACTGGTCTCTTCAGCTTTCCCCTTGTTTCCTTTTATTTTCTCATACAGCATTTTCTGTGGGGAGCTGATTCCAGTATTTTATGTTAAGCTTTTCCTAGTTCTTCAGCTTTGTCTGCCCACACATGACTCCCTATTCTCTCACTAGCCCTTTGGGTTATAAATTTTTCAGTGCTAAATTACACTATTAACCTACAAAACTTTGCATACAGTACAGCTGTGAGTAATACCGTGGCAATGTAAAATAGCAAAGTGACTGTGCGTGCTGAACACCCTGTCCTCAAGCTTCCTGACTCACCTGGTGACGCTCAGTTGGGGGTGAGGGAACTGTCATATTACTGGTGTGTTCCCGGCCCTGCCATACACCAGTGGGTTTGGTGGGTGAGATCAGAAACCCTTCTGGAAGCCCCAGATCAATCCTGTCCACATTCCTGCTCTGGCCTGCAACCCTCTGGCAAAAACACAGCACAACTGACTTACAGCCCTCCCTCCCCACCTTGCTCTGGGGTCCCGAGCAAAGGCATCGCGGGGCAGGGGTGTGGGATGGGACAGCACCCCACAACCTGGAGGATTTGGGTGGGCAGAAATACCCGGGGGCAGGAGCGAGACACTGATCAGAGATCAGGAAAAGGAGATGGAGTCCTGTCAGCTCTGGAGCCCTGACAGAGCCCCAGACCCTGTCAGAGCCCCCGAAGCCCCGTCAGAACCCCTGAATCCCTGTCAGAGCCCCTGAATCCCTGTCAAAACCCCTGAATCCCTGTCAGAACCCCCCAATCCCTGTCAGAACCCCCCAATCCCTGTCAGAACACCCAAATCCCTGTCAGAACCCCTGAATCCCTGTCAGAGCCCCCGAAGCCCTGTCAGAGCCCCCGAAGCCCCGTCAGTCTCCTCAGAGCCCAGAGCCCCATCAGAACCCCCAGGGCCCTGTCAGCCACACGGAGGCCTGTCACTCCCGCAGCCTCTCCAGGCCTAGAACCGGAGCCGCCCGGAGCTCTGTCGCGGAGCCGCGGGTACCGGTGACACCGATCGCCCCCCCCCGGTGCCATCGCAGTGACAGCAGCGGCCCGGCCCGCCCCGCGCCACCCCGGCGTATCCATGGCGACGCCAACCCCGCCCTCCCCCGCGTCGCTCCGCCCTCGTCATTGGCTGCGGCCTGCCACCAATAGCCGGCGAAGGGCAGGCCGGGCCCCTCCTTCCCTCGGCAGCCATTGGGTGCGCGGCCTCCGCAGCGTGCGAGGATTGGCTGGCGGGGCGGGGCGGGCGCAGGCGCGCTGCTGTTATTGTCCCGTTGTGCCGCCGGGCGGGGGGGTTTGCTGCTGCCGCTGCCGCCGCCATGCCGGTGAGACCCTCCCGCCGCGCTTCTGCGGGGAACGGGGTGTCCGCAGCGGGGGTGGGCGGCTGCCACTGGGCTCGGGGAGTGCCCATGGCTGGCCCTGCTGCCGTTCGGTTCTTCCATTGCTCGGCCCGTCGCTGACCGGAGCCGCCGTGGCCGGGGGTCGGGGAGGGGTGTCGCAGGTCCCGCGGCCTTTCCTCCCCAGGAATGGGAAATGGCGGGCGGCGTGTGCCTCTGAGGGGGGCTGGAGGGGTGGGGGGCCGCGGGTGGGGCGAGTCCGGTGGCGGCGGCGGCCCCTGGGCGCTGAGGGGAGGGGGGGTGTGTGGGGGGGTCTCGCCTTTAAGGTAAAACACCCCGGTTGGGGAAGGGACGGGGAGCGGGAGGAGCGCGGGGGCTGCTCAGGTCCCAGTTCCGGCCGCGTTTCGGCCTGCGTGAGCCTGGGGAGGGCAGTGCGTGGATCATCGTGACTCACTAATTCTGTAGCTCGTTTTAGAAACCTTCCTGCCCCTAAGGTGGGTAGAGCAGGGCTGTAGGAGCCCTCCTCCTTCAAGGTGAGGCATATCAGCCCCCTGCTTTCCCCAGAGCTACAAAAGCTGTTTCTGGCCTCTGCTGAGGCCTGAGAGGAATCTAGGCAGATGGCAGCTGGTGGGAGAGGTGCTTGGAAACCGGGTTTGTTTCTTGGTGACAGCCAAGATAGCTACTTTAGAAACAGTTAAATGCGCAGCTACAGCGCTTCTCGATAAGGGTGGTGGTGTCTTAGACTGTAGTAGATCAAATGGGCTTTATAGTTACTTGGTCAGGAGAGGCATGTCACATCATGTTAATCAGTGGTGTTTCCAAATTTGTACTTAACTACTTTGTGAAAGAAAACATTTGTGAGGTGTTTATAATACAGCATTTGAATTTTCGCAGTGGCTAAAATTCAGCAAGTGCATCGAGGCTTGTAACCAAAATGAATTCCCTTGAGCTGGTGCTCACTGGTATCTGCTTATGTCATCTGTAAGGTTGGAGACTTGTGTGCTCCAGTGAGTGAGCACGGTCAGTGGTAATGTGAAAGAAGGGCATGGCTGCAGCTGCTTCCAGGAAAATGCTTTCAGGTTGTTTGCAAGCATGAAATTGTTTCTTGAAGAAATTCTTAGATGATCTTGAATGTGAAGTTCTCAAGTTTTACTCGATCAGTTTCCACACTAGCAAGCAGAATAAGCTTGTGTTGATTTAATACATTACTCTTTCAGCTATAATTATAAGCCAGTTCTGGTTTTAAGTCCCCAGGTTCATGATCCTGTGGAGATGTATGCATCTACTTGAGTTGATTCAACAGCTTTTATTCTTAAACACACAGGTATGTTAAAAAGTAGTGTTAAAGCCTGTGTATTTTTTTTCTTGCTTTTTAAATAATTATAGATCAACAAGGCTGAGAAGCTGGACAAGCCAGAGAGCTGTGATAATGTCAAGGTGGTGGTTCGATGCCGGCCTCTTAATGAGCGAGAGAAAGCTACGGGCTACAAAATGGCAGTCAACGTAGATGAAATGAGAGGAACTATAACTGTTCATAAAACAGACTCATCCAACGAGCCTCCCAAGACATTTACGTTTGACACAGTGTTTGGACCAGAGAGTAAACAGCTGGATGTCTATAATTTAACTGCAAGACCTATTATTGACTCTGTCCTGGAAGGATACAATGGTAAGCCCCTTGTTTTAAGTCAAGGATCCCATCTCCTATTATTTGCATTGGAGTTCCTGCTGATCATATTTAAGGGAGTTTCACCTTCTGAGGGCTATAGCCCTGCATTGGTTCTTTTGTGGCCTCTAACTTAAAATAGCCTGAAGGTACTTAGTGGTTGTACCTACTATGATTATTAACAGTGGGAGACTGATGATGCACAGGACTCAGCTGAGGTCAGTTAGCTGTATGTTTTTATTCTGTATCTTCTGTTTGCAAAAGATATACTTTATCTCATTATCAGACTTCTCAGCGGCTCTTCACTATACAATTTCAGTAACCAGGCAGCTGCCACGGTCCTGCAGTGACTAGGTATGCATACCAGACTTGTGCATATAACTGCTGCATTTTTTCCTCTAAACTTTGCTGTTTTAAACTAAGATGACTAGTTAAACACATCTGTCCTACCCCACAGATAATATGTGGCTTCCTACAACTGGGAAGAGTATGACTGTGATTTGTGTGTATGTCTGTTATGCACGTAAATGTATTATGTAAAGGAGAGCAGGTGCTACTAAGGAAGCAAATTACTGCTTTCCATAACAGTATGTTATAAACAACAACAGATTACCAAGTGTTTAGAGGTTTGTAAAATGCCTAATAAGCTCTGGTGCTAACACACCCAGGCTTCAGCTGATTAAAAATCAGCTTTTCCAAACTGTAATGTCTGGCTTGACAATCAAAACTTGAGTTTTCAGCAGTTCTAGGTTAAACTTAAGAACCAGTGTATTTCTGGAGTACCAGAGTCTGAGATCTCAGTATGTTTTCTGGATGCTTTCCTGTGCAGGATGATTAGTCCAAATTGTAGCTGCGTCTGCAGGTTCAGAACTAGGCTTGTGCTGTGGCCTGGGTTGTAGAAGCCTCACACTGTTTCTGCTGTGGCTTAAAGCGCTAGCAATAGTTGGTTTTGCAGTTGGTATATAATCTTCCTCTAATTGACAGTGTTATTAATTGGGTTTGCCTTAATTATTTGTGTGTGAGACCTAAGTGTACTAGCACTCCATATAATCACTCTGCACAGTTAAAACAAGCTAACTTCTTAGATATCTTGCAGGCTGGATAAAACAGTGGCTCAGCCCTATTTGCTGCTGTTGTTTAGCATGTGTGTTGCTCCTAGCCTTGTACAATATCAGCTGGAGTGGGTGGAAATTTTAAACTCGTAAAAATAGAGGTGTTTAGTGCCATCAGGCTAAGAAGGGATGATGTAAAACAGCAGTTAGCAACTTCTTAGAGTTTGTTCATATATCTTCTTACCCTTCAGGTACTATTTTTGCATATGGGCAGACTGGAACAGGCAAAACTTTCACCATGGAAGGGGTCCGAGCAGTTCCTGAGCTTAGAGGCATCATTCCCAATTCCTTTGCCCATATATTTGGTCACATTGCCAAGGCAGAGGGGGATACAAGGTAAACACCTTTTCTTCTCTGCTTCTGTCTTTTGTGGGTCTGTCTATAGCAGGAGCTTGACCTTGTCAATGGCAACCGAAATGGTACCCTTGGCCCTAAGCGAACAACTCCTACATAGGCAGTTCTTAAGGGGGTTAGCAGGATTGCGCTGGTATATCACTGCGTTTCCTTTGCACTCTGTGTGTGTTGGACTTCAACAAATATCTTACTAAGAAAGCTACCCAATTGTTCATCTTCAGGTTTTTAGTTCGTGTGTCTTACCTAGAAATTTACAATGAAGAAGTGCGGGACCTGCTGGGAAAAGACCAGACACAGAGATTAGAGGTGAGCCTGCCATTTTGAAGGTGTTTGTTTTGAATCAGTGAGCAATATTTATATTTTAAAGACCAGAGAAGCATTTGAAGGGAAGTGGGAGGTCAGGCTCCTCAGCGCATGTACTACTTCCTTTAAGATACAGTAGCTGGATATCACTACTGACTTCTCTGAATTTTTTCCACTTGGTCACTTGTGTAGTGAGAAACTGGCTGTTCCATCCGAGTTAGTTTTGTGCCTGCAGTTCTACCCCAAAGGCCCCTCAGCAGTCTGTCTAGGAATTAGAGGCTGAGATTTGAAGTCGCTATTTGCCACTGGGGAAATCCGTGGAATGTTGTCCTGTGTGAGTCTTTATTCCTTAGCTGCTCTGATTCTGAGTGTTGGAGTGTTTTACTTTCAAACCAGAGCCTAGAGGAGTAAATCACTGTACTGTTACAGTAATACTGAAAATTGCTATTGGGGATCTCCTAAGGATGCTCCATCTAAACTGTTTCTCTCTTAGGTCAAAGAGAGACCTGATGTGGGAGTTTATATCAAAGACCTTTCAGCTTATGTCGTAAACAATGCAGATGATATGGACAGAATCATGACTCTGGGCCACAAGAACCGTATGTAGCCTTGGTGTGGGCTGGTTTATAGCTCAGCTGAAGGTCTGGTTGGGAGACCACAGTAAGAGATCCTGGTCCTAATGCTGGAAAGATTGTTCAGCTGAGCAGAGCAAAAAGGATACCTCCTCCCAAACCCCTTCTGTGCAGGGGTGGGTGAAGAAGGCTGTGCCTTCCACACTGGCCGGTGCCAGTGAGGGAAACGACAAAGAGGGGGATATAATGAGGGCAGTCAGTGTGGTCAGAACTACGAGTGTGTGTCTTGGTCCTTTTCCCTCTTCAGTTCTGATCAGGATGAACAACAACAACTAGTCCCTGTGCTGTGAGTGGGAGGTGGTTTGTTTTCTGGAAAACTTCTTAGTTAAGTTCAGATCCTTTCAAGACCTACAGCTTTGTCTACTTTTGCTCTTAGCATGGATTGCTATGTTCTTATTTATCAAAATACAGATGTTCTCTTGGATCAGCTGTGAATGTCTTAGGCTACTGATCTTTGTAGCCTTAAAGAAGCAGATGAGAACTGCTGCTCATGGGATGGGAGTCTGTGGTTGGCTTAGAGCTACAGCAGGCTGTAGCGCTTCTGCTAGTCCAGATTGGAGATGTGCTGCCACTTCAGTGTCCAAGAATATAGTTTGCTGCTGAGTCTGAGCATTCCTCTTCCAGATCTTCTGAAATACAGGGTTGGGTAAAGAGGAGGGGATACATCTCCTTTGAGAGCAGCAAGAGTGTTAGAGGATCATGTGATTCCTCCTGAAGATGACATTGCTTTTTCTCTTTTAAAAGGTTCTGTTGGTGCCACAAACATGAACGAGCACAGCTCTCGTTCACACGCCATCTTCACTATCACTATCGAGTGCAGTGAGAAGGGGGTTGATGGAAACATGCACGTGCGCATGGGCAAACTGCATCTCGTTGATCTTGCTGTAAGTAGGACCAGCCAGGTCTGCCATAGCACATGGTGGGTGTCTCTGCTCGTGGATGCACCGTGGAAGGCACAGTAAATGGCATGTCCCATGTTTCACAACCAAAGCTCAGACTTTTGTTTGACATCTGACTTCTGTGAAGTACTCACTCAGGGCCTTAAATCAGAGCTGTACCAGAAGAGTCTTTAGTGTGGCTAAAGCCTGTCCCAGTAAAAGGGCTCGCTTGCTTTTATACATTAATCATTAAATGGGTAGACTACATTGGAAAGAGCTCTCTGGACAGCAGAACTGGGTCTTTGGAAGAAGGTGTTTTTATTTTGAGCGTTGTAACCATGCTCTCTATCACTTACAGGTTCCTTCCCTCTGTTGCTCACTTTAAACCAATGTAATTGTGCTGGTAAAATGTGGCTTTAGCCCAGACTTTACACTGGAGTAATCTTCCCTGGAAAAGATGCAGGAAAGGGGAGACTAAAGGCATTCAGTGTCTGCATGTTAACTTTATTTACATGATGTATGTTTAGGTTGCTTTATGAAACTCTTTAAAAAAATTGCAGTGTTGCTTTTCTCGCTTGACCTGCTGATAGGAAAGGCTGGAGATGGTGCTTAGCAGCTCCAGCTGAGGTACAACAAGTCGTAACTGCTGACTTGTTGCTTATAACATTTTTGTTCACGGGGACAAAAATCCCAGTCTTCCCAACTGCATTACTTTGAGCAATCCAGCATTTGCTAGCACTGAAAGCTTTGGTTGAAATCTTTGAGGTGTCTATTAATGTCTGAGGTACTTAGCCAGGTTCTCTAGTAACAGATGAGGTGGTTAGTGACATGGCTGCTAGTGAGACTTCAGGTGTAGTTGATCCTATTTAGAGAAGAGAGATGCATTGAGGATCTGTAGTAACTTCTGGCTCCTGTTCCCTTTCCCCAGGGTTCTGAAAGACAGGCGAAAACCGGAGCCACGGGGCAGCGACTGAAGGAAGCTACAAAGATCAACCTCTCTCTTTCCACACTGGGGAATGTTATCTCTGCACTGGTGGATGGCAAGAGCACCCATGTGCCCTACCGTAACTCCAAACTTACACGGCTCCTTCAGGATTCTCTGGGGGGCAACTCCAAAACCATGATGGTAAGCTGAGATGCCCTTTCTCGTGCCAGCTATTGAGCTGTATTTTTACAGGAACAGCGTAGTGACTTTGCCATGAGAACAGCTTGACATTTACGTCTTTATTTCAGAGCTGTTTGCAGCTTAGAGAACGTTCTATGTGCATGTTTCCCTAATTTCTTCTCTTTGCCCCTGTACAGATGAAGTTCTGAACACAGTGCAAGTGTACGCATGTGTGTAAAGTCAAATAGAAGCTGTGCTTGGGTAGCAAAAAGCAGATTTGGGGTAGATGCAGCAGGATTGCTTGGGAAAGAGTAGCAGTGTGAGACTGGCAGAGCTGGGGATGGGTCCCTGAAATTGCTCGTTCTGGGCTCTGACACTGTCCTCCAGTAACTCGGCCTTCTGTGTGTCACAGTGTGCAAACATTGGACCAGCAGACTACAACTACGATGAGACTATCAGCACTCTCAGGTACGCAAACCGAGCCAAGAACATAAAGAACAAGGCCAGGATTAATGAAGACCCCAAGGATGCTTTGCTCCGCCAGTTTCAAAAAGAAATTGAAGAGCTTAAGAAAAAACTGGAAGAAGGTGCGATTCCCCTTCTGAGAGTTTCTCTCTCTACCAGTGCTTGTTCTGTTTGCGTGGGAATGTTCTTTGCTGTTTGAAGATGTCATGCGAGTTTGATAGCTGCTACAGGCCGGTGTTTTGGTTTTGCTTGCCCTGCTGTATTCCAGGTGAGGTGGCCGGTGGTGGCCAGCGGTGGCCCGGCTTTGCCCACTAGGTGGCACTTGGCACGAGGCTGAACTGTGGCTTCTGGGCTCAGTTTAGCTGTGCCTGGTCTTGCCTGGAGAGCTTGAGGGCTCTGGGCACAGTGTAGGGATTTAAAAGGTACCCTAACAAAAGGTCAGATGTTTTCTCTGTTTGAGGAGGGAGGGATGTGTTTTTTAGGAGAAAAATGAACCGAATTTGTGGAGCTAGAACTGTGGCTGGCTTTCAAACACAGCATAGGGAAACAAGAAGCTTCTTTAAGCCCTGTAACTTCATGCCTTTGTGACACTGTTAGTCCATCAGCATCAAAGGACCCTGCCACAGGGCTGCTTAAATAGTGACCTTGGCACAACATCTCTCTCCAGAGATGCTTAAGGCACAGAACAGCTGGAGCAGTAACTCCAGCAGGGCTTGCTGTGGAGTCTGCCCCATTCTGGAGGAGCAGGAAATGGTCAGTAACACCTTCCTCAAGGGTTGGAAGCTGGATGTAGCTGTTTTGTCATTGGTGGGGTGTGGGGGGGTGCTGCTTAAAATTGAGACTCTAAGCAGCAGAACATACAGCCTTACATTTGCGAACATTACTGGGAGACCAGGATGTTGGATTCTAATCAGTTTCGTTTCCAGACTAAGCCTAAAACATCTGAGTATCGTGTCTGCAGTGGCAGCAATGATAAGCATTTGTGGAACTGGACATGTTTCTTGATTACCAGCCATCTAGCTTCATGTATGCAGGTGTCTAAGTATGAACTTTGTTCATCTGTTTTCTCTTCCATCTGAGATGGAAGAGAAGGTATGGGGAGATCCTGATAGGAAAACTTTGTAGCTTAACAGTTCATCAGTGCAAGGATGCTTTATTTCCCATGAAAAGCACCCACTTGAGCTTTAACACACACACACACACTGACTTCACAACATTAAATTGCTTATCTGGATTTTCCTTAAGTTTCCTGAGCCGTGAGAAGCTGTCTGTCTGCTCAGCAGTTAGTGAATTCTACAGGTGCTTGTAAGCTTATGTCAGACACTGCTGGGTTTGGACAAATGCAGCTGTCACAGTAACAAGCTGATAAGAGGGGAAGGAAAACGCATCAAAAAGCATACTCCTCTGTTGTAGGGGAAGAGATATCTGGTTCTGAGACCAGTGATTCTGAAGAGGAGGATGAAGATGACGATGGGGAGATTGGAGAAGATGGAGAGAAACGGAAGAAGCGGCGGGGTAAGGCAGTAGAGATTCCTGTCAGTGCCACCAGTTTCCTCTGATCCAGGAGCTGGTGTAGGCAGAGGCAAGTGGGGAAAATTGGAGTGGTAGAGCTGCCCTACTGCCGCTGCAATTATCATGCCTCTCCTAGAAACGAAGCTATTTGGTGCCGTCTCTGTAGATGGACAGCTCCGAACCTGTGTAGTATCTGCTTCCACTTGGGTAGTTGTGCTTGTGGTAACATCCTCTTTTGTGGTGGCTCCCTGGTTGCCGCAAGGTGGCTGTGTATGGCTTGACTGGTGGTGTGGAACTTCCCCTGCTTGCAGAGGTGGGAGGAAGAAGGCACCAAAGATCAATGGTAGGCAGATGTGGTTTTTATAACCATGGGAGTGGTTGGAGGGGAATTTTGTCTGTGGTTTAGGCAAAGGATTCATCTGTCTTATGGATGTTCAGTAGCTGACTCTTCTGGTGGTGTCCTATTTTATGTTGATAGAGGCAAAAAGCTTGACCTTTTGATGTCTTTGTGCAAGCTGAAAAGCTGAATGGGAGCTGCACATCCCTTGTTTGGGAGTGCTCTGGAAATCCCATGGTGAAGTTTGCTTTGTCTTACACCAGTGTTAAACTACTGCATAACATCTAAACCCCAGGGGATGTTGCTGAACCTAGAACTGCAGGTCCATGTGTACCGTGGGATGCTCTGACTTCCAGGGAGCTTGCTGTGCCCCTAGGGTGCCTCTGATGCTTCTTCACGGGGAGCGGAGAAGTCAAGCCCAGTGCTACACCTCAATTTCCAGCTTCTCCAGTAAACTAATTTTGACATTCAAACTGCATTCCTGTCCTGGAGCACCCACATCTGTTTAAAAAATTCCTGTTAAAGCATTCCTGCTTTAGATGCACTCTTCGTTTTTGGTATCTGTCCAAGGAGAGTCATGAACGACCTTAGTTATGCCTTTGGTGATCGTTGTAACAACTTCATTTTTCACCTTTTCGTAATTTCTAGAAACAAAAAGATTGAACACTGTCTCCATCAAGAGCCAAGTCCTGCCTAAATCTCATCCCAAGAGATGACCTTCAAAATTTTTCTTGAAAGGAGTAGGGGGCAAATAACTAACTTAACTTCTACTCTAAGTTCCCTAAGTAAGGGTGCTGCTCAGCAGGAGTACGCAGAGTCTAACTGTCCCTGCATAAGCTGATTCTGCCTTCCAGAGGGAAGAGTGCACATTGCCACGTACATAAGACTGGAAAGGACTCCTGGTCACTGAATCCTCTGCTACTGCAGATGTCCACAGCCTTCTCCACTACGATCTAGTTTCCTGTGCTGTTGTTGCTTGAAATGGAAGCTGCCTTGGCATGTTGTTTTAAGCTGTAGGCTGGTTAAGATGGGTTTTAACTGAAAGTGTCTTTCTGAGCATGCTATTTTGTGCTGGGAAATGGTGGCTTTGCGAGCTGAGTCTGGGAGGGAACCTAGCAAATGCTTCCTAATGGGAACTTGTGCCTTTTTCAACTAGGTTGCTGGCCCTTCTGGGTTTCTTCCCTTTAGAACTAACTTCCCATCTGCATGTTTCTTCCTCTCTGGGTTTTTCTGTGGGACGCATTTCTGTTTTCCAGGCAGTAGCAGCAGCAGTAGTTCAGACTCCACATGCTCTGTCATAGAGAAACCTCTGGATAAGTCCTTCACTAGTGAGTGGGAGCTCTTAAGTCCTTTAAGCTTTGGCCTTTCCATAATCTGCACACTCCATTTTGCGATGCTGCACTCTTCCCCGCTATGTCCGTTGGAAAGATAAACCTGAACTTTAAACTCCGCTAAAGCATGCCTTTTCTTTGCTGCTTCTATGCTTGAAACAGTTGTTCAATGTGCACGTCGTTAGCCAGATATGTGAGAGAATAGGAAGCAATTTAGTATGCTGCTCGAGCAAGATTTAAAGACAATTGCAAAATAATAGGTTAAAAAAAAAGGAGCTTAACAGCAACTTGTGTTAAACACTCCGTCTAAAATATCAGGAGTCTGAGCTAACTTTGTGGGAGATGCTACAGTATGAAGTAATAAAAAGGACAGCTAGACATGTGAAATGGGTTCTGCTATGTTATATTGGACTCTGCCTTCACAAAATTAGTTTTGGAGAAATGGGATGGAGCAGTCAACAAACAACACGAGGTTTGTACTTGCAAAGAAAACATGGTAACGCTTGGTTTAACTAGCTTTATTTTGGCAGATACTTAAGGTCCTCAGTGGTGGTTGGGGTTTAACTGCCCCATGACATTAAGTTCTTGATCACTGTGGGACTTAGTTCAGAGAAACAAGGGATCTAGATTTTGGTCTAGCAGTGAGGAAAGTCTGGTCTGCTCCTGGTCAGTGAGTGGGCTCTGTCCCTATAAAAACCCTACAGTGATTTAGTGATGACTGAAGAAATAAATCACATCTAAGGACTTGGCTTGGAGGGACTTAACCTACTGTTGTGGTTGTCTTATATAGATGCAGTTCACTTTCCTCCCTGTGTGGAGAGAGTCTGGAAAGTATTGCTGTATAGTTACAATTCAATTAAACTCATACTAGTTATGTTAGTGGAACACATTAGCTTGGAGAAAGTGTGGTAACAGGTTAAGAAGGATCACAACCGAAGGGAGACATTTGGTGGGTCGTATGATGGTAGGCTTGGAATCTGCTTGCTTCAAACTTGCTCTTTCAAAGCTTGCTTGAAACCTGAATATTTTATTTGGATGAGGACAGTTAATAGCAAACCACTGGTGTGGCAGTGGCCGGATGAGTCCATCTCCTGCAACTTTGGAGGACACCTCTGTTGTGGAAGTTGCACTGGGCTTTTGGTGATAAGGATAAGTGTGGCTGTATGTGGTTTGGGATATTAACTGTCCTCAAGCGTGACCCTTTTGCATGTGGTGTCTTTCATTGTCCCTTTCCTGTCCTGCCTTTTTTGCTGCACTTGCTTGAGTAACGAAAACTGGCTATATACCTCTATGGAAGCATCAGTTACTGCAAATTAACCTACTAATACCTTGTATAATTAAATGGAGAAATCTTGTGTTGAGACTCCCTATGTGCAACTGTCATGTATCTTGCAAAGAATTGGCTTGGAAACTTGGTTAATACTTAGAACGAGTCTTCTGTATACTAATATTTTACATGTAATAGAATTGGCTATCTTGAGCCGGGGAGGGGTGGGGTGGGAAGTCTCTTATTGAAGAAGAAATCTACCCTCTTCAATTGTTTCTCAGGGCATGATCTTTGCGGCAGGCTCATAATGTTACGTTTAGATTCTGCATTGCTTTGAATGGGCAGAAGAATGCAAGAGAGCTGAAGATTATCCTGGATATGCAAAGCACTCTGAAGTACAGAAACTTTCTCTGCTTTAGCATAAAATCATGATGCATTAATGTTTGCTCTAATGGAGTTTTTTTGTGATGATTATCCTGTGTTTACTCTAGAAACATGCCTATAAAATTGTTCTGATGCTGATGATCTTTATCCAAAATGATCAAAGCAATAATATATTTTCTTTCCTCCTTTTATGCATATGCTGCCTCTCTGCGATTTGCTTTCTACTTCCTCTTAATGCAAGATCAAGCAGGTTGGTGTCATTGTTTTCCACCTCCTTAGAATACAATTGCAGAGCCTGTGAAAGGGTCTTACAACTTGCTTTGGCTCACCTTTTTCTCCTAAACTGAGAATATATGGGGCTGTGTACTAGCAGCAGGAAGCCTTTATCTGGATTACCTCTTTTTGTATGATGAGCTCTGTATAGCACTTTCAGAAAGCTGCTTACTCAAAGACTAATTAGAGAGATTTTTCTACCACAAATCTTGAAATAAGTGCTTATTATCTGATGCCAAAGTTTAGCAGATGGAAACTAAGACATTGTTTGCTGTAGTGCTGAAGTCCTTATCGTGCCACAAAGCTAACTCTTGTGTGCATGTACAGATGTATAAACAGATATGTACATATGTGTTTACAAATACAGTGCATTTTGTCTGCTAGAGGTCCTATAGGTACATAAATGAAGCTGAATGCCATGAAGACTGGAGGGAAGGGCAGCCTTTTACTGAACAACTTCCTTGAGCACATTTTGACCATATGCATTATGTCACTGAAAAACAGTCTCTTAACAGTCAGTGGCTTCTGTTAGTTTCTAGGCATCTGGATTCTATGGGGTTTTTTCTCTCATCTAGAGAAGAGTAAAGTAAGAAAGTGAAGGATTCGCTTGTAGTGAATAAAGGGAGATTTAGGACTTGGGGGAGACTTGTGGGTTTGCGGAGATACACGTAGGCTGGGTGCTCTCTCACTCCAAATAACCCCCAAGGATATATCTCTGTGTTCACTCGCCTCAGGCACTCTTGGGATTACAATGAAAACTGACTCAGACTGGTGGAATGACTTCCAAGAGCAGCAGCCTCACGCTTTGTTTCAAAATCACAGGGGTTTGGGACCAACCCTTCAGGCCAATAGGTTCACGGAGTTGCCCTGGCTACTTCCTTTGTAACCCTCTGAAATGTCCCTGGTTTGTTGTAGGAGTAGCTATGTTGTAAAGCTGATAAGTCACAGCAAACCTCAGTACTTTCAAATCTGTGGGTAGTCACTGTTACATAGCTTGAATACCATCAAAAAGTTTCTTTAATTGTCTATTTTTCATAGGGCTGTTCTGAATTTCTCAAGTCTCTGTATGTTCATAGTAGTATGTTCTTAAAATTCTTTGCCATATGTAATCATGTAAGGACAATGAACAAGGGGTGTGGTGGGGATGCTAATCTGGAATTTGAGTATGCTATTCCTGGTAGCGTAGCTTTCGTAGCTGTAGTTTAAGGCAGTCTTCTGTTTTTCTTAATTTGGCTTGATCTACGTAGTTAGACCATCTGAGTTTCCAGCTCACACTTCTCTTTAGGCGGTGTTCCTTCTGTAGGTATTCTTCATATTTACTATTTGGGGGGGCATTATGTTACAGTTAGTTATATAGCATTCCTTCTCTGTAGGAACTGGTGACAACTGGTCAACGTTAAAATGGGATTTGAAAGACAGAATTGTGCCCAGCTAGAAGCTGACATCTATTCAAATTAATTTTTGTTAAATGCAAGTTTTGAATCTGAACTTGGAAAAAGAGCTGAGAGACAGAGGCTGTCGTATTTTTCTATGAATTTATTTGTCTGTATCCCTTCCAAAGGCAAAAAGAAAGTTTCCCCTGATAAGATGGTAGAGATGCAAGCAAAGATTGAAGAGGAAAGAAAAGCTCTTGAAACTAAGCTGGATATGGAAGAAGAAGAAAGAAACAAAGCCAGAGCTGAGCTGGAGAAGAGAGAAAAAGACTTGCTTAAAGCTCAGTGAGTACCCTGCTCTGAGCAGTTTGTGTGGTTGTGTGGGTTTTTCCTTCCTTAATCTACAGCTCAGTTAGGGGTGTCTGGAGATGCATGGTGAGGTGCTGTCAAACTTTGTATAAACTGAACGTCAGCCCTTGCTATTATCAAAGTGAAAGAGGAGCTTACTCTCCTTTCAGAGTTTAGAGCAGATGGAAAAGACACTTTATCCTTTTGCTGCTTCTTTCTTCTTAACTGTATCTAGTTGTGCAAGATAGCCCAGAAACGTAAATGAGTCCTCCAAACTCTGGAGACCTGTGAAGAGCAGCAGTACTGCTGTACTGCTTTGTCAGTGGGCAGTAGCTGTGTAGCAAGCCGGGTTTCCTGCAGCACACTGTCACGAACATGTTATTTGGGGTGTAGAGGTTCTCCACCCTGGAGTTGAAAAGCTGCTGAGATCGTACTGGCCCATGCAAATTGGACAGTCCTGCTGTCAGAGGCTGCTCCAACAGCAGCCAGCGTTCCTGGTTTGCACCTCGAGTGCCCTGCCTTCATCTCTGTTCACTTGCTTCCATTTCTGCAGCCGCCTCTGGGCACCGCTGTGCTGTCTGGGCCCATGTGGAGCAGGTGCCTTGGGTAGCCTAGTAATATTGCTGGGGGCTTGCAGCCCCTCACAGAGGGCTCTTGCAGCAGGAGAGGCTTCTCTGCTGACCTGGTTTTGCTTGAGAGAAAGCAATGGGAGCTGGAACTTGGGGAACTCCCTGCATTCACTTGCACTACCTCACCCCCGCTTAAACCCTTGGCAGAAAGACAAGTTTTTCCAGCCCTGTGAATGCTGTCTGGGCTGTAAAACTGAGCTGGACCTGCTGCCTTGCACTGTAGGATAGGAAGTTTTACACTTACCTGTCTCTAGACAAGAGCACCAGTCCCTGTTGGAGAAACTGTCTGCATTGGAAAAGAAGGTGATTGTGGGAGGAGTGGACTTGCTGGCAAAAGCAGAGGAGCAAGAGAAGCTTCTAGAGGAATCGAATATGGAACTGGAAGAGCGAAGGAAGAGAGCAGAACAGCTTCGCAAGGAGCTTGAGGAGAAGGAGGTGGGGTTATATGCTGTAGCTGTCTGAAAACAGTAATGGTGGGACACACCATATTGTGTGCTGTGGCATTGCTTACGTGGATGAAATGTGGCTCTGCTCTGAAAGCACAGCACAAGCAAATGTCTTCGGAGGCCATGCGATGGCAGCGCAAATGCTGTGGGTCTGAGCCAGCCTGGCTAAGCCAGATCTCCGTGCCTTTGGCAAAGGCTTTGTTTTGTTCAAGTAGTTTTTTCCTCTTGTTCATGCTATTGCAGATAGTTTCTTTGATTATGCTAATGTGTGGATGTCTGTGCTAAATGTTGCACGCAGCAAGAACGTTTGGACATTGAGGAGAAGTACACCAGCCTCCAGGAAGAAGCACAAGGGAAAACCAAAAAGCTGAAGAAAGTTTGGACCATGCTTATGGCTGCAAAGTCAGAGGTTAGTGTGTGAAGTCCTCAGCCTGTGATCACGTGAGGGGCTATAGCTGGGAAGGGTAAGCCATCCACTTCGTAGCAATAGAAAAAGTGCCGGATACTTAGAAACGTCCTTGTGCTGTCCATTTGGCTCACGTAATTCAAAAAGTAATTCTGGTGTCAGACCTTCACAGGAGCACGTTGTAGAGCTTTTCACCAAGCCAAGCTGAGAAGGGGGTATATGTGAGACCCTGAGAGATTCAGAACTTTAAGGAAAAATGTTGGTCATTTCTGAAACAAAGTTCTTTGACAGCCCAATCTCTTGCTTTGCAGCAGCCCAAATGCTCCTTTGCTCTTAGCTGTCTGTCCTTTCTGCCTGTTGCCCTTGTTATTTCTTCCTCAGTCACTAGATCAATGTGTCCTTTGGCTGGTATCTAGAGTTTGTTTCATGAAAAGTGCATTTTGTCTTTTGGGATCAGAGATTTTCCTTGAAATCTTGCTAGGGAAATAACTTGTCTGCGCACTCTTGGCTCTTAGCTGGTGCAGAGCTCAGATTGGCAGAAGGCCAGTTTCATTTTTATGAAACTGAGAACTTAATGCTACTTTCAGCCATCTCTGAGCTGGAATGTTTTACAGAGGGTTTATTCTTCAGAGATAAATATTCCAATACTTGCAACCAGTGGTTGCTTTTGTTTCTCAAACCTTGTATAGGCAGACGACTGTTCCCTTTTAGGCTGTAGCATGTCTTAAGCTAGCTCTGATGCCTTTCAAATGCCTGGTTTGTCTTCAGATGGCAGATCTGCAACAAGAGCATCAGAGAGAGATTGAAGGATTACTAGAGAATATTCGGCAGCTGAGCAGGGAACTTCGTCTTCAGATGCTTATCATAGACAACTTCATTCCTCAGGACTACCAGGTAAAGAGAAAGGACCTAAGCCTGTGGCATACGACTATGCTATGCATGCTGAGCTTTTATTCTGCCCAACAAATGGGATGAGTTGGCTCCTTTTCTCTTCATGAGGTATTCACAGTGAACTGATTGACACATGTCTGTAAAGTAGCACAGATGAGTTGGTGTGTTCCTGTGAACCTCTGTTGTGGCTCAGCTGTGTGGGTGCAGCTCAGCCGCATTCATGTGTTTGTGCTGTTATTTTGATTATTAGAACCAGGTGGTGATAAAGTAGGAAAAGATGCTTTTGTCGAGTGACCTGTGTAACCTGGTGGACTTCTGCTTGAAGTTTAACTGCAAGGTGATCAGAGTTAGTGGGTGCATTTGACTCCAAAACCAGCACAATGATGTGAATAATGAATGCAGTGTGGCTTTGTTGTATTTCTCAGGGATTTTGATAACTTTGGCTACGATTCCATAGTGGTAGAATCTGTTTTAGGGAAGCAGTGTATAATGTGTCAGGGGCTGTAAGCAGAGGGATATACCAATCTCAGTTGTCTTGCAGCATATTTTCCTAATGGTTTAAAAAAAAAAAAATCACATTCAGCATGCATTTGACTGGTATATTCCCTGTGTGCCAATGCTCTGGGTCTGTTCAGAATGTCTTTTTTACACTGTGCTTGAGCTAATGTCTGATATTAATACAAAATAGAAAGGCTGAACTCGGAATTCTTCCCTACCTGGTTTCCTTATGACCCCAATATCTAGAAAATTCATGATGAACTTAAATATGATGCATGATATTTAACAGAAAATACAAAAGCTATTAGACTTAATCTTTCATTTTTTCCATATTATAGTGTGTTTATTGCTATCCTGATGGCATCTGTGTAATGGGAAATGCATGCTTTAGTGGGAACTCCACTGTATACAATTTGAAGCGGTATTTTTCTTCTGTACTCTTCAGAGTGTAAATTGGGGTTTTTGAACATAAGGCTGTCCTGGTAATGACTCGGAATAGTCAGGACTGTTCTTAAGCAGCTTGTCTGGGCCTTTATGGATGTGTGTTCTGGAAAATGCATCTGGTGTAGATTGTCCAAGTCTAACAATTACTGTTCTAATTTATTTCTAGGAAATGATTGAAAACTACGTTCACTGGAACGAAGACATTGGAGAATGGCAGCTGGTAAGCTCGCTGACTGGCTCATGTACAAGCTGATGTTAGCATGAGCTTCTGAGGAATTTATCCATTTACTTCTGGGCTCTACTAAAGCTGTAGTCAGTTTTACTGTGCATAGTAGACTTTACTAACAGACCTTTCTTTCTTTAAGAAATGTGTTGCCTATACAGGAAACAACATGAGGAAACAGACACCTGTTCTGGATAAAAAAGAAAAAGATGTGAGTAACTTTTTAAGCATGTACTGAACTGCATGGGTCTAGGTTCTGCTGCCTGTGCCTAGCACTGTGTTTTTATAGGGAAACTGTCCAATTTCAGTTTTCTTCTCTTTTGAAGAGATGAATCTTTCTGGTGTTACAAAAGCACTGTTGATCAGTGTATAAAATGATTCTGGCGTTTTTGTTTTGTGGGATTTTTTTTGTAGCCCTTTGAAGTGGACCTTTCCCACGTTTACTTAGCTTACACTGAAGAAAGCTTGAGGCAATCTCTGATGAAGCTGGAGAGGCCGAGGACTTCAAAAGGAAGATCCAGGCCCAAGACGGGTAGAAGGTGAAGAACTTTGGAGTATCTATATGTAATAGGGGACTTACCCAGGGAAAGGCTTAAGTTTGTGCATGCAAACTTACCATAAGTCTTCAAACATTTGCTTAATGAGAGGACAGAATACTAAAATTTTGCACGATATAAAGTTTACCAGTGCCAAGTGTGACAACCAAGCTGAAATCTCTTTACTACAGTAAAATCTTGTCCAGAAAGGCTTGCTTGGGGATTTTTTGATGCCCTTTTGTGCTGCATTCCCCTCTTCAGGCTTCTTGCTTTATTTTACTGTGTTCTGTGGTTCAGTTTAACATCTGGCACATTGACAGTGCATATACTGTTATTACTGGGAAGTAATGTGCTGTTGGGGGAGATTTCAGCCTGGATTTTCTCAGTTATTTTTATTTGGGTTTGACAAATGCTTGTGGAGGAGTAACATTGTGTAGGTTTTGACTTGAAATGTGGCTGGTCCCTGTTTTTCCTAGACAGCATAATGATGTGTGTATGGTGTTATTTTTCCCTTTCTGCTCTCCAAACAGAAAACGTTCGGCAAAGCCAGGAACCGTCATTGACTCTCTGCTGCAGTAGGTGTGACCTGTTCAGAATTGCTGTAAAAATCAGTGAGTGTATAAGATTTGGCCAGAATATGGAATTCAAGAGATGGCACAATTTGACATGGCTATAAAATCCATGCCTTGCTGGTATGGAGCTTTATTTAAAAAAAAAAAAAAAAAAATGTATTTTCTCCTTAGTTGCCCATATATTGTATGTTATATTAACATAATATTAACTGGTATATATGATGGTTGTGAAATTCCATGTGTTAAGCGTGTTGTGCAGGGAAGCTCTTTTTGGAAATCCTTGTTGAAATGTATAGAAAATAAGGGTTCTAGATGTGTGTTTAAGTGCTAGACATGTTAGCTCAAAACGGTTGATGAAATCCTAAAACTTAAGGCTGGTAAACCTGGTTTATGCCCTGCTTTGCACATAACCAGCAGCTTTCACTATTGTCCTCTGTTGCACTGATCTGTGTTTGAATGTGGTTGCTGCAAACCTTTAAGAGCATCAGACCCTTTTATTTAAATATTCCTCACTGTGGCTGTTAACCTGATCGGATTGTGTATCAAATACGCAGTCTTTTTCCCTTAATTTGCTGTCTTGCTGTATGAAGAAAGTAGTTGGGCAGGGGAAGTGTGAGCCGTAAAAGTCTGAGATGTCTGGGAAGGGACCATGCTCTGGTTAAATGCAACAGAAAACAAATGTGTTTAGTGCTTTTATTTTTGTCTGTGTGTGATTTGCTGACACTGTGGAGAATGAGGCCTTCGATGCGAAGGCAAGAAAGAGCTTTGTTTTTTTCTCTTCCTCCTTTTAAGGCTGTGTTGCAGCATTGATTTGGCTGCTTTTTATTCTTCTGAGCTGGAATTTTTTTGAACGTATGTGAATTATTTTGTAATCTGAACAGCAGAGATTATTTAAGGGGAATGCTATAACACTAGGACTTTGCTTCAGCCTTGGGACTGTGAGCATTATGGCTCCATCTTTTCATCCCTGGCTACAAGGGCACTGGGCCAATGCCCTGAACTGAGGATGGATTTGATTTTTCCTGTATTAACAGGCATGAATTGCCCAATGTTCCCAGAACAGTAACATCCCCTGAAATAGCTGATACTGTTTGTGTTCCTGTGTAGACTGTCATCTTGGGTTTCTGGCTATGCTCTGAGAGGAAAGTTCTGGTCTCTGATAATAACCATTTATCTGTGGTGGCTGCTCCTTTTCTTTGATATTTATGCTGCTAATAGACACATATCACTTTAATACATTGCTTTTGTGTCACAGAGAAAATGCATCTCCTTAAGACTCGGTGTGCTTTGTAAGTTCTGCTGGAGCACATCAGCTGTAGGCGTCTTAATGGCTGTAAGTTCCACGTAATCATAGTGTTACCTAGGGGTTTAAAAAGCTAGGATTACGAATAGGAGAAATTGGGTCTGTGAGCATGACAGGAAGGGCAAGACAGCTCCTTAGGTGCCCTGGGTCCTTGCTAGTAGTCATGTTTGCAACTACCAGAGTGTCCTTGTGAAGTACTTAAGGTAGTTAGAAGTTGATAGCCCTTTCTTACTGTCGTGGTGCTTAACTGGGTGTACCTTGGGGCTCTGTGACAGGATCTGCAATAGTTAAAACTGGTCTTGTAAGGCCATATTTTGCTCTGGCGATATATTCAGTGCTATTTTAAATGAGTTGTAAGCTTTTCCCTGTTTTTAAATGAGTTTTTTCAGGATCATGACCTAGAACATACTGCCCTCTGTTTTGGGGGGGAGGGAGTGTCACCTAAGTTCATGCAAGGTCTGGCTTTGTCACCTAAGTTCATACCAGATACAAATACAAACTACAAACACCAGCATTTATTTTCTTTAGCCTAGTGCTTAGAGGTAAATAATCAGAATTTTGGTCGACCTAAGCTGTAGCTGGTTTTGCTTTTGAAGAGCTGACTTTACTTTGAACGTGCTTGGATAGAGTTGGGTTATCTTGTGTTACACAGTTGTCATCCAACAAGACAGACTGAAAATGGCTTAAGCGCTGTTTTCTCTTAGGCCTTATGTCAGTTCTGAGTCCAAGCAGATAGATGCATAGTTTTGGCCTGTACTAGTTCTCAGAACCAGGGAAAACTGTTTTATTTCTCTTTTGTGTTACATTGTCTTGTGCTAAGATTTGTTGAATGATCTATTTTAAGGGGGTTTCTCCTGAACTGTGCTTTCAAAAAGACCAGTGAAGTCTTTTACCAGACAGACATCAGTGGCTTAAAGATACCACTGTGAACCATTACACTGCATTTAAAATATTTACAACTGAACTATAAAGGCTTATGCTTTATGATTTAATTAATGTTACAGTCCTGCTGCTGAAAACAACAATATTTTACATATTTGTGAGCCTTGGGGCAGAGGAAACACTTAATAAATAATTGCTTGCACTCCTTTGTAATTGGCAGATTGGAGAGATTTGTTGTAATATCCTGTTTACAGGGGCTTGTATGACAAATTATCTGCTCTTACAAGGGAACTTCATTTAAAGTGGAACACTTATGGTCATGATGATCTATCAGCTTGTCTTACCTTGTAACTGGTGTGTTTGGTTGAAGTTCTGGGAACTTAGTTTTAAAACCAGGGAGTCTGGCCTGCAGGTTTACCATACGGGCCACCTCTAGCCCTGGACAATCTGTGAATGTCTAAATGGGTCCATAACATATTTTAATGAGGAAGGGGCTTGGTTTGTATGGGTTTTTTAAGAGCTTAATACAGCCATTCTCATCCTAGGTCAGTACGTGCTCTATAGTATTTATCAAAAACCATATTACCATAATATATATATTGTGAATGGTCATCTTTGCATCTTGCTACCAGAGGATTCCCCTCATTCCAGAAAACTGATTTTAACGCTGAGGTTTTTGATGCTTTATGTTGTTTGTTGTGTAAATTTATTTCCTATTTAACTTGTTTCTGATCCTTTCTTTAAGAGGGGAAGATGGTCCTTAGTGCCTTTCACTGACTATACTGTCTGCATGTGTCCAGCTTTCCCCCTTCTCAACAGCTCTGCTTAGCCAGTCCTGTATATAGGAAAAATTGCTAATATGTTTGTATAATTTGTCTTCCTATTTATTGGTTTTCTAACTCTGTTTATTTCTGATTATTCTTTGTTTTACGATTAAACTTTTATTCATTACATTGTATATATCAGTATTGTGCCCCCAGAGCATGTTCATACCAGGAAATAAAATTCTGGATTCCTAGTTCCACCTCTGTGCATGGTTTTATACATTCAGCATCTTTTGGACTCAGCTGAGTCAGAAGGTGGCTGAAATAGTCTGCGTAGCTCTGGCATATACAGCACTTGTTGAAGTGGGTTTGGGGTGTGTGGGGTCCCCCAGGGCAGTGGGCACCAAGCTCTTGGGGGAGAGGCAGAACAAGAGGATGCTCTGCCTGGCTCCAGAGGAGATGGGTGGGATGGGGCCGATGTGTGGATCAGGAGCTGTGCCCCCCGGGTGGAGGAGAGCCCGGCAGAGCCAGCGCAGGGATGGGGCAGCAGCTTCTCTCCTGGAGTGCTTGGTGCTGCCCTGGGGCTGCAGCTGGTGGGGAGAAAGCTTCGCACACTGCTCTGGCTTTGAGGGTCCTTGTGTGACAGGGCAAGCCTGTCCCACCCCGCACTGGTGCAGATGGTGTGAATTTACCTGCAGGAATGGGAGATCATAGAGTTGCAGACTGGTTTGGGTTGGAAGGGACCTTCAAGACCCTGCCCCAGGGCAGGGCCCCCTTCCCCCAGCCCAGGGTGCTCCCAGCCCCGTCCAACCTGGCCTTGAACCCTTCCAGGGAGGGGGCAGCCACAGCTTCTCTGGGCACTCTGGGCCAGCGCCTCACCCCCCACACAGGGAAGGATTTCTGCCTTACATATAGCCTAAATCTGCCCTCTCTCAGTTTAAAAGTGTTACCTTGTCCTATTCCCACCCCCTGATCAGGAGTCCCTCCCCACCTTTCCTGTCCCCCCCTGTAAGCACTGGGTGGACACTCGAAGGTCTCCCCGGAGCCTTCTCTTCTCCAGGCTGAACCCCCCCAACTCTCAGCCTGGCCTCCCAGGGGAGCTGCTCCAGCCCCCCGAGCATCTTCATGGCCTCCCCTAGCTCTGTTTCATTTGCTGCGTGATCTGTGGTGGCCTGCAGTGCATTTCTTCCTCTGGAGGCCATTTCAGCCTCCTCTTGCAGTAGGTAACAGGTTCTTTGCGGTCTGCTACCGTTGCAGCTCCCCTGAGTGCTGTGACTCAGTTGATGCACGAACCAAACCCTGCGTGGTCCAGGGACTTTCCAAAGCGCTCTCCCACGCCATGCCAAAGTTGCAGATGGGTAGTCACCTAAATACCTGGCAGACTCCCCTCCCCTGGTGCTGGAGAGACTTTAACCCCCTCCCAGGTCTGCTGCATGCTCGTGGTCCCTTAAGCAGTGCGTTTCTGTTCCCTGTTGCTACTTCTTTCATGGCTGTTGATGTTGGAGCCTCTTCGTTCCTAGGCCACAAAGGGCTATGCCGTAGACGAATGGCATATATATATTTTTATATTTAAATAGTATAAGTAGAGGTTATAATATAAATAGAGGCTATGAATATACTATAAAGTGAGGGGAGAACTAAGTGCCTGCCTAGCTCTGGACTTGGCCTCTGCCTTTGCAGCCCTAGTACACCCTTCCAAGTTCCCTGTTTTCAGAAGCAGACCCTGTTTGTGGCCTTTCTCCAATCTGGATTCTCTCAGGCTTTTTCCTCTGCTTAGACCTGTTTTCCTCAGGGTAGCACAAGCCTTTACTCCACAGCAGGACAAACTTGTGTTTTGTCAACTCTTGCCAGCACCACCCTTGTGCCAGTGGCCTCCAGACCCTTCACTGTGGCCCTATCGATATCTTTTTTGCGACTTAGATGGTAAATTAACAAAAGTGACTTCCAATTTCGTGGAATTAAAGCCCCAGTTCCATCTAGGAACCCATCCCTGCTCAGAGCTCTGGAGTCAGCCCTGCCCCTCTGTGCCCTGGTTTCCAACCCAGTCACAAACTGGTCCCATTCCGATGATGCGGATAGAGAACATCCATCCTTCTGTCCCTGCTCTGCAGTTTCCCTCTTGCCATCAGCTGGGCCCTGCAGCCCGGTGCCCAGCGCTCCAGCCAGCACCTTTGAGCTCTCAAACATGCTCCTGCACTCTCTACTTTCTGGCCAAGAAACATCTTATGCAATGCCTCCGAATTTAGTCCAAAAATACATTTATTTAAAGAATTCTTATAAATAATATTTGAAAAATACAGTGTCATTATAGTTTAAAAACAAACAAAAAAAAAGTGTGTTTTTTCATTTCACCCTCTACTCTTTTACTAATCGTTGGAGGACTCTGTGTAAGCCCATTAGGAAATCATGCAGTGAGGTAGTGTTGCCTGCTGCCACGGGACACGGTGCCTGTAGTAGGAAAAAACAGCCATGAGGATGCTGAAGGAGGGAGCCCCTTCTGCAGCCTGGTCTTGGCTGCTCGTGGTGGGAGTGGGAGAGGACTGGGCGAAAGCCAAAACCGGTGACCGAGGGAGAAGCTGGCCACGCCGAAAGCTTGAAGGCTGAGGGCTGGGAGGGGAGAGCCCTGCCTTACCCTGTGCACCACGCTTTTCCTGTGGACCAGATGGAGCAAATTGAGGTAAATCCCCTCCAGTTGCCAGTGGCAGTGCCAGCCCTGCTGAGCTACTGTGGCAGCTTTGCATAAGATCTCCACATCATCTTCCTGGGGGGAAAATAAAAAAAAAAAAAAAAGACATGCATGACTTTTTAAAGAAACCTTTTCATCATACAGCCACGGCTTCATTACCAGCAGATTAAATCAGTGCAGGTAACATTTTTTTTTTTTTTTGCCCCCTTATAAATTTTTTTTTTTTTTCCTCTCAGCTGCTGGTGAGAAGTCGTGGCAGAGCCCGGCGCAGCAGCGAGCACCCGCGTGCTTGGAGCATCGTGCTCCTGCTGCGGGATCCTGTGCCTGGGGGGAGCTGCTCCCTGCGCGGTGCCATGGGAGCGGAGCTGGTCTGGGGGGGCAGAGGCTCTACGGGAATAACAAAAGCCCCTGGGAAGAGGTTGCCTCCATCAGGTGCTTTGAGTAGCTAAAGTCCCACGGCAGAGACACGTGGAAGATGAGGAGCTAGTAAGTGAAGGGCTGGTGGTAGTAAGAAAACCATTCACTTGTCTTCGCTGGGGGAACGGTCCCGCTGCCTGCTCAATCTCCTTGGCTTTCACACCGAATAAGCGGCCGTCCCGTCCCCGGGAGCACGGCCAGGGCTGCGGGTTGGGTTGTGCAGCATCCCGAGCATCTCTTCTGGCTCCCCAGGCTGGTCCCTGTGGCAGGAGGGGGCAAGGGGACCTCCCCCCCCCCCTTCCAAAAGGGAAGCTGAGGGGGTGCTCAGCCCCAGCCCCCGCAAAGGGAGGCTGCTGTGCCCCTCGGCTGCCGCCCGCCCGTGCGGCGCGAGGTGAGGGCATTGGCTTTCTGTGAAAACAGGAACTCTAGTGCCGGGGAGCTTGGCTTAGGCAGCAATTTTCAAAGCAGAAATAGGCTTTATTATCTGCTATTAAATCTTCTGCTAACTGAAGAGCCTTCCCCCAGATGAGAGGCTAAAGAGGGATAGTGTGTCTAACCAAAGCTCGAGATGCTGCACGATAGGCGCGTGTGGGTGTCTGAGACGGTGACACACCGCTCCAAGGCAAAGGAAGAGAGGTTCCTCTTTTCCTTTCTGAAAAGCTTGAAAAACCCTGCGCGCGGCTCAAACACCCGCTGCCCATTCCTGCCCACCCCTCCGGGCTCCCCTTGTCTCCGAGGTGGCCGGGAGCCGCCGATGTGGCTTCGGCTGGAGGTGGGGATGGATGCGGGATGGTGAGGCCACCTGTGCTGGGCACCAGTATCTCTGCTCGGGGCTCACGATGGGCTCCTTGCTCCCGCACCGCGCCGGGCCGGGCGGCGCTGCCAGGGCTTCACGCCCAGCTCCTCCCTGCCCCGTGCTCTCCTCCAACCCCCAGCATCCTCTCCCAGTACCCAGCGTGGCCGTATGGTTGTTTTCGACGAAGGACGAGTTAGTTTTTCCTCTCTTACCTTATCGCCTGCGAAAATATTTGTCACGTTCATCTTGTCACAGGAAACCTTTATTGAGACGCAAAGGAGAGGAGCAATCAGGCTAGAGAAACCGCTACCACGGATCCATCCTGACACACACCCATCCGTCCGTCCGCCCGCTCGCGGTCCTCCCCCCCCCCCACCACCCCGCCAGGGCCAGCACCTTTCTTTGACTCAGCATCGCTCTCGCTGAGCCCGGCGAAACAATCTGTCCCTCCTCTCCACGGGTAAAGGCTGAGCCGTGCGAGTGAGCCCTACCTCGGTCTTCAGGAGATCTCTCAGCAGCCTGATGCTCTCCTTCAGAACGGTGGAGGTCTGCAGCATGGTGGCCGTGTGGCCCTGGCAGGCTGACAGCGCCAGGAAGGTGAGCAGCACCGGGACCAGGATGCTCATGGCCTGCTTGGACTGAGCCCCCTCAGCTCACGGTTTCTGGATATTTTAGTGATCTATACCTGTGTGTGCTTTTCTGGAAGAAACATCTCAATTTATGGCTGTAAAATTGCTGAACCTGTAGGAAAAACTTATTTTCCCTTATCTGCACTTTCCAAGGTTGCTCCTATCCAATTAGGACAACAGGTCTTTTTTGTAAAAGTCAAGATTTTCTTCTGATCTTGCATTACGTTTCAACGTAGGAAATTTCCACCGTAAGATAACAGTGGTAGGAGTCAGGTCACGTACAAAAGAAAAGTTTGTAAACTGCGCGGTTTGGGGATTCTTCATTTCTCCGTATCCCAAGACTTTCTCTATACCGTGAGGTGAAAGTGGCCAAACTGGGGACACCATGGCTCTGACCGCGCTCAAATATAACGGAGCCTTGTTTTTTTTTTCTCTTAACTATCCCGCAAGCTCTTCCATCTCGTGTTTCATTTGAATATCTCCAAATCATGCAAAGCATCCTTCATCTGCATACCATTTTCTGTCTACGGTTATCTTAACCTGCGCCCGAGGAGAAACAGAAAGTGTGGCAGAGCCCTGCCTGGGGCCCGTGGGGACAAAAACCTCCTGGGTAGGAGCGGGGCATCGCCGCCTCCCGGGACCGGGGGGTTTATGGAGACCTGGGGGCCCTCCTGGCCAAATGGGACCCCTGAAACAGCGTGACCCTGCCCGTGGCACCCTGCGGGGACGTGG